TATGTGTCCATGTAATGCTGAAGAATAATACTCCTCATAATACACAGGAATAGGGCCCTGGTAATAGACCCTTATCATCCAGGCATGTGCTATATAACCACTGTCAGTGTGCAGACTGCTCCATGGTACATCCCGGTCTGTGGACCCCCATGACTGGTATTCAGAATGACTCTCAAGCTGTGCAGCCTTATGGGGAAAGTGTGAGACATCATGGTTCTCAGGCTCTACTCCACCACCCAGCGGTTTCCGTAGTGTAGTGGTTATCACGTTCGCCTAACACGCGAAAGGTCCCCGGTTCGAAACCGGGCGGAAACATTTTTTCTCCTAGTAGTCCCATCTGTGACCGCCATGTGCGTTACCGCTTTACAGAAATTCTCGGCGTTCTGTTTTTGTAATGCAGTTTATTTCTATATTATATTGCGATAGTACCTCATAAATCCATTTTCTATGGCAATTGTAAACCCACTCACATTACGGCTCATTCGTTCATACTCTAAAAGAAGTGGATTTATGGGCGACAGAGAGTGTTGTGGAGGTGTCCAAAGAGTTAAAGGGCCGGTGACGTCACGGGGTACGTACGTATGACGCCCGGCTACAACAATGGCTGCATAGAGAGGTGAGTGCGGGTGATGTGTAGGCTGCTGGATGGAGGGTCCCCGTCTGTTATTGTGTTCATCAGTGCAGGGGCTGTGTGTGCCCACACTGAGAGCTGTGTACAGTGTCATGTCTGTGTACAGTGTCATGTCTGCGTACAGTATCATGTCTGTGTACGGGGTGATGTCTGCGTACAGTGTGATGTCTGCCTACGGGGTCATGTCTGTGTACATTGTCATGTCTGTGTAGGGGGTGATGTCTGTGTACCTTGTCATCTTTGTGTAGCGGGTCATGTCTGTGTACATTGTCATGTCTGTGTACGGGGTCATGTCTGTGTACATTGTCATGTCTGTGTACGGGGTGATGTCTGCGTACAGTGTCATGTCTGTGTACGGGGTGATGTCTGCGTACAGTGTCATGTCTGTGTACGGGGTGATGTCTGCGTACAGTGTCATGTCTGTGTACGGGGTGATGTCTGCGTACAGTGTCATGTCTGTGTACGGGGTGATGTCTGTGTACATTGTCATGTCTGTGTACGGGGTGATGTCTGCGTACAGTATCATGTCTGTGTACGGGGTGATGTCTGCGTACATTGTCATGTCTGTGTACGGGGTGATGTCTGCGTACATTGTCATGTCTGTGTACGGGGTGATGTCTGCGTACATTGTCATGTCTGTGTAGGGGGTGATGTCTGCGTACATTGTCATGTCTGTGTAGGGGGTGATGTCTGCGTACATTGTCATGTCTGTGTAGGGGGTGATGTCTGCGTACAGTGTCATGTCTGTGTACGGGGTGATGTCTGCGTACAGTGTCATGTCTGTGTACGGGGTGATGTCTGCGTACAGTGTCATGTCTGTGTACGGGGTGATGTCTGTGTACATTGTCATGTCTGTGTACGGGGTGATGTCTGCGTACAGTATCATGTCTGTGTACGGGGTGATGTCTGCGTACATTGTCATGTCTGTGTACGGGGTGATGCCTGTGTACAGTGTCATGTCTGCGTACATTGTCATGTCTGTGTACGGGGTGATGTCTGCGTACATTGTCATGTCTGTGTAGGGGGTGATGTCTGCGTACATTGTCATGTCTGTGTAGGGGGTGATGTCTGCGTACATTGTCATGTCTGTGTAGGGGGTGATGCCTGTGTACAGTGTCATGACTGTGTACAGTATCATGTCTGTGTAGGGGGTGATGCCTGTGTACAGTGTCATGTCTGTGTACAGTGTGATGTCTGCGCACAGTATCATATCTGCGTACGGGGTGATGTCTGCGTATGGGGTCATGTCTGTGTACATTGTCATGTCTGTGTACAGTATCATGTCTGCGTACGGGGTGATGTCTGCGTATGGGGTCATGTCTGCGTACATTGTCATATCTGCGTACAGGGTGATGTCTGTGTACGGGGTGCCTGCTGCTCCTTCACCATCACACTCCATGTACCTGAAATGCCCTTCCTGTCTGCCACCTCTCCCTCTTCTACCAGAATCTATGTGGTCCTCATCTCTGCTTTCCTTTTACCTCTGAGGGTCACTTTTTCATAAACACATGGACAGCCTACCATAAGGGAGGAGTCACCTGTGAAGGTACTAGGGTTGCCAACTCACCCCTTAAAAACTGAACACATATTAATTACACAGGTTCTGGGGTTGATTAAGGTGCTACTTAAACTCACTTTATCAGCATTCAGTTAGTCTCAGACTCTGTGTAATTAATGTGTTCAGGTTTAAAGGGGTGAGGTGGCAACCCTAGAATGTGCCTGCACTCTGATTAGATGCGAGAACCCCAGCTGGGGTCCCACAATTAGCTGTGTAGGCACCCCTATCGCAAGCAATGGAAGGATGCCAATTCCCACAGCTAATCTCAGTCACTCGCTTGTAAGGCCCATTTCACACGGACGTTTTTTCATCAGTTCAGTCACATTTTTTCCAAGAAAAATTGGATCAGTTCACATCAGTTTTTCATCTGTTTTTGGATCGTTTACATCCATTTTTCATCCGTTCCGGGGTTTTTTTAATGGAAGAAAAATAGGGGTTTCTTCTGTTGAAAAAAAACGGCTGTTAACCACTTTAGCGCCACCCAGGGGCGGACTGACCATTTGGAAACTCGGGCACTGCCCGAGGGCCTGGGGTCAGTAGGGAGCCCCATGAGATGCCCCTGGTACCTTTTTCATAGGCTTTTTTGAGTTTGGGCAAGGACACAGGGGCTCCATGATCCCCTATTGCCCGGGGGCCCCATGAGTTGCCAGTCCTCCCCTGGTGCCACCCCATAGCAGGGGATCTGTTCGCTGATCCATGCTGAGTAGGCAGTTGATAGGTCCACTTCGCCTATGGGCGGCCGGATGTAAATGGACTGCTTGTTTACATCGAACTATCATCCGATCCACTAGACAAAAAGGGAACTAATCCCCCATCCATCTGTTTTTATCGGGTGCAGGTGGGTGTAAACAGACACGTGTTTGATCACCATCACCACTCCATAGAGGGCAGTGGGTGGTCCGATCAAGGCTGAACAGAAAAACAGACAGGCAGACCTTATTGGTCCACTTGTGTGAAAGAGGCCTAAGGCTGATGTCAGACAGATGACTGTGATGCTACTAATCCTGCTGCTGACAATTTGTCCACCAGCATCAGGATCAATGAAAGCTCATTCTTACCAGTTGCTGCATTGCAGTGTGGCTGGTAGAGATCAGCGCAATGATGATTCGCTGAGCTCTATGAATCATATTGCTCCTTTTTTTTTTAAGGAACTTTATTGAGAGGCCAAACGACGCGAGGCAGTGGATTTCCTCACGCTGTGCTGTTTTAAAATAAAAAGTACCACGTGCAGTACTTTTTCTCAGCACACAATGCAGAATATATATGCTACATCTCTTCTGTAATTAAAAAAAAATGACCTACCTGCCTGCTTGCAGTCTTCTTTAAAATGTACACTGAGCTGCACATGAGCAGCTTAGTCTACATTCCAGCACATTGCTGTGTGCTAAGATGACTGAACTCCTGTGCTTGCACAAGAGTGTCTTCATCCCGCACTGGCCAATTTGCTGTGCCCATCACAGTGACTGTATGCCAGGATAACTCCCATGGATGTGGGGGAGTGACTTCATCCCACACCAGGCAAACGAGGCTGAAGAGCAGTTTCTGGAAGAGAGACCGTTGCCTCCACACAGAGAGCAAAAAGAACGGCTTTCGGCAGAGAGACCACTGCTTCCACACAGAGAGCAAAAAAAACAGCTTTCGGCAGAGAGACCATTGCCTCCACACAGAGAGCAAAAAGAATGGCTTCCAGCAGAGAGACCACTGCTTCCACACAGAGAGCAAGAAGAACAGCTTTCGGCAGAGAGACCATTGCTTCCACACAGAGAGCAAGAAGAACGGCTTCCAGCAGAGAGACCAATGCTTCCACAAAGAGAGCAAAAAAACAGCTTTCGGCAGAGAGACCAATGCTTCCACACAGAGAGCAAAAAGAATGGCTTCTGGCAGAGAGACCACTGCTTCCACACAGAGAACAAGATTCTTTCTCTATGGCATGCTGGCAGGGGACAAGTTTTTTTATACTGAGGCTGTGGCTACTTTCCAAAGAAAAGCATGTATATGTTGCAGCTCCATTCATTTTGAATGGTACCCCAACTCACTGCCACAACGCATACACTTCAACACACTGCAGCACACCACAACGCACAGTTAGAGTATGGGTGCGCTGTTCTGGAAAAAATGCAGTCTACAGTATTTTTCTGTGCATTGCAGCCCATACATTTTGAGTGGGCTCCCTAACACATCTCACCACAATGCACCGCAGTGTGCTTGTTGCAGTACAGTTTGGTATGGAGTGACTTAAAGGATAAGTTTACCTTTCAGAGCGTGTTACACGTTACACCTTTAATTCAGGTGTAACATGTAATGTGCTCCAGATATGACCCTCCCAACACACACACCCTATTCCCCCCTCCCTCCTTGTGACAGCAGGTGGATGGTCTTCTCCACTCTCACAGCCGCAACATTCATTCACAGTGATCTGTGAATGAGAGAACTACAAGTACCATCAATCATTGTGGCTGACAGCTTGTAGTTCTCAATGAACTGCAGGGGCGCTGATGAGTGCTCTCATAGTTCATTCACAAGCCATGCAGGCTGTAAACAGCTAACCCATGTTGGATGTACGGCTGCATTTATTATTTTTCCCAAAAAAGGTGAACCTAGCCTTTAAGATCTTGCACACCTTTTATTTTGTTGCAGCTTGAATGTATTTGGCTGGCTTAAAGGAAACATTCAGTTGGGCTTTAACTGTGTGACTAGAGTAATTAGATTGTAAATAACCAATGCTGAAACTCTAGTGCACACCATACCCTTGGCTGTTTTATCTATTTTTTCTGTGTTCTTTCTAGGTATGGCATTGCACATCCTACCACCATGGCACAGGCCGATCACTGTCAGCAGTTGCTTGATAAATTAAACAAACAAAGAGAGGCTGGCTTCTTGTGTGACTGCACCATTCTGATTGATGACGTCCAATATAAAGCACACAGAAATGTGTTGGCTTCATTTAGTGAATATTTCAAGGCCATATTCCAGAACTCTTTGGACTCTACTGTACTTTTGGATCAGAAGCTAGTTACACCAGCCGGATTCCAGACAATGCTGGATTTCATTTATAGCGGTGACTTACAGTTCAATAGGTAAGATGGCATTTTTATTTGATAGCCAGTGTTTAGTGTAACAATCTGTTTTCAAAGTGCTGTAGAAAAAGAGCTAGCCACGTTAAGCCATACCAGACAATCAGATCCAAAGCCACCTGCATGTCATTGCTCAAGTTTCATGATGGTGGCAAAACATACCTATCCATTTAAGGCAGGCCTCCTTCCTCCCCTTCTCTTACTAAACAACCAGCGCAATTTAAAGGTATATAGGAAAACGTATTTGTACCTATATCAATGTGATTGTTCTGTAATATGTTGCATGTTATTCCCACAGCTCCTCCCTGCCTGTGGTCCCAAACCTGCAGGCTTCTTATTTCTGGTTGTCTATGTCAGCCCACCGATGATGTCTGTGCTAGATCTCACATGCTCAGAGCCAGCAGTCACTCTTAGTTTCCCCCAGAAGATCTCAGGAAAAAGGACACAAGAACACCCTGGAAGGGTGATGTAGCCCCCCTGTTTGGGCATCTGTAAGGCTAGGGCTACATCCCCAGTGCCTTGAGAAACCAGGAAGTGGAGCTGCAGAAAAGCTACATTTAAGCTCCATGTACGCTGGGTGTTTTTAATAACGCTGGTAACGTTAGCTGTGTAAGGTCACCTTAAAAACGTTAGTTTTTCAGCGTTTTTGTATTAGCGTTTTACTCGTTTTTTCACATTTGCGTTTGTAGATTTAAAAACAAAAAACACTGGTTTGCCGCAGTTTACCACGTTTTACTGCGTTTTTCAGCGTTAGAGCATTTTTACAGCTAAAAAAACTTCTGTAGAAACCCACTAGTTCTGGGGGGTTTTTCCAGCCAAAAAACGTTGATTACAGTCTATGTGTGCATGGATACATAGAATACCATGCTGGGGACTTTACTGGCTGACAAAAAAAAAAAAAAAAACGTCAAAAGCCAAAAACAGCAGCTGTAAAAATGTCCAGTGTGTATGCGGACTTACCTATAGCAATACCTATCTGAACAGACCTTGGATTTGGGGATGTTTAATATATGCAAGCAAAGCTGTACACACAAGCTTTGCAGTTGGGAGTAGTCCACTCTAACGCTGGTCTGGCTGCTTATAGTCTCTACCAGAAGTGTATTGCAAAAAGAAACAAGATGTGCCTGTCACGATCGCGGCATCAGACCCCAGACCTTCTCACCAAACTCGTGACCGAAGGACTAGCCGATCTAAAACCGCGATGTCACGTGCGTAACAATGCCACACCCATCTGCACCCTGCACAACGATTTTCCAGCTAATTGGACCACAATCGGTGTACCGGCAGCCTGAGCGATTGTTACTGGGTCAGTCTCTGATGCGCACATTTGCGACAGTGCCAGGCGAGCATCTCTCTGCTTTCAGTGTTCTAGAATGGAAGTCGTCGCTGCAGCAGCACCTGGAATAGGTGAGCACTGAGTGTATGTGGCAAGGGCTACTATACTGAATTTGAGAATCACCAATGGTCAATAGGGTGCCATGTCCATTGGACAACAATTGAAGTCCACTGGCAGGTAGTGTGAGACCCACAGATCCCAGATTTTTTTTTTTTATTTAAACAGTGTCTTATAACTTTTTTTGTGGAAATATAAAATAAAGGCTAGATTTAAACTCAGCTAATAGAGGTTAAGTAATGCTTCACCTGGGTGCATAGAAATTGGGGTGCCCAACAACATAGCCAACATTTCATAGCCCCGGTCGCACAAAGATTAAACTGTTGGACAAGTCCACTGTGTATGTAGATTGGTCCTTGAGTCTATGCAGCCATAGAAACAGTTCGGTGTGCAACCAGGGGTCAAATGAGTAAGGTGGTTCGGAACTAAATACCATTGATATAAAACTTTATCATTAGTTTTTAGGGCTAGTTCACACTACAAAAATGCACTCCAGATACGTTCCGGATACTTTTTTGCTTACAGTTCACACCACGCGCAGTTCTGATGCAGTTTGCCATGTTCCAGTAAGGTTCTGTGCAAAACAAATGCAGCATGTTCTGCTCCTTTTTTTTCTGCACTTGAACTGTGTGCACTAGTGTGAACCAGGGCCATTGGAATACATGGAAAACACTGTGCATGCATATTTGATGCAGAACAAAAGCGCTCTGAACTGCATCTGGTGTGAACTAGCCTTTATGGTTAGGACATTCTGAGAACATGGTTGGTGGTTTCCCAGATTTGGGCCCTTGTTTTCCGGTCCTATTGTATTACTTAGATCTGCCGCCCACTTCCGGGAATTCAGCTGTGACATCTTTCTAAAAGAAAAAAAGACCGGCAGTACATTTAAATTTTTTTTTTGCAAATAATACTTATAAATATTGTATTGTTTGTAGATTTTAAAAAACCGATATGGCATATATATAAGTGTAGGTAGCAGGGGCGGACTGACCATTTGGAAACTCGGGCACTGCCCGAGGGCCCGGGGTCAGTAGGGGGCCCCATGAGATGCCCCTGGTACCGTTTTCATAGGCTTTTTTGGGTTTGGGCGAGGACACATGGGCCCCATGATCCCCTGTTGCCTGGGGGCCCCATGAGTTGTCAGTCTGCCCCTGGTAGGTAGACTGGTGGAGGTGGTAATTATTAGTGAAAATAAACAAAATACAAGTTAGTCATTGCTAGTGAGATAATGTTTACTAACAACCCAAAAAATAGGGACAGAAAAAGGGAAGATGCAAATGGGGTGTGGAGAGCTGTAAGATTTGAAAAACCTTGTTGTGTTCCTTTTGCTATGTCTGCATTTAAACTGTTAGTAGGGCTAAGTACAACTTTTCTGAAAAAATGTTCCTTCACCTATCCTGCATAGCCTGTATAAAGAAAGATTACATACCTTTTTTATATATGGTCCAAACACATGATTCAGCTGCTTTGGCTCCCCCTCGTAAGGGAGCACTTGATAACAGTTGTGAAATCCCAGAGACGTGATTTTGCCCACCGGTTCCCATGGCCTATTTGTATTTGATGCTTCCTCCTCTCCCCTGAGGCTAGGTTCACACTAATGCTGTGCGGTACATTGCATGCGATTCACACAGGAGCCGCACTGCATTTCTGTGCAAATCACATGCGATTTGTGTGCGATTGCAGCCATACATTTTGTATGGCTTAAATCGCACCACACCAAAAAGGTGCAGGACCTTTTTTTGGGTCTGCACTAGAATCGGATCGCATGGGTATTCACACTTCTGCACATCGCACCGAGTTTTGCGGACTGATTTCTGGGTGGTTGTTAACATACACATCCACATTGGTTCGCATGAACAGTGTGCAATTCTGATGCGGTGCGAAATTCGCAAGGAAAACGCTGCAAATTCCACACCGCATTAGTTTGAACCCAGCCTAACACAGGAGATCCAAAATAACCCTTAAACAATAATTATTTTTAAATTACAAACCCCATTAAAAAAATTTATAAATACCTATTAAAAGTGATTTTGTGCCAACCAATCAAAAATTATTAGTATGAAATCAATTGCAAATTAATAATCCTCAATAAAATACAAAATTTGTGAGTGATTTTTTACCCTTAAATTAATTTAAAATCCCAGTAATTTATAAGATTAATAAATCTTTATTAATCTTATAAATTACAGGATTTTAAATTAATTTAAGGGTAAAAAATCACTCCCTCACAAATTTTGTATTTTATTGAGGATTATTAATTTGCAATTGATTTCATACTAATAATTTTTGATTGGTTGGCACAAAATTACTTTTAATAGGTATTTATTAATTTTTTTAATGGTGTTTGTAATTTAAAATAATTATTGTTTAAGGGTTATTATGAAGTATTAAGGAGCGCAACATACATTGGTGAAATATTTTGATACACAGTGGTAGTTATGTGTTTTATGTTGGCGATCCATTAGAATTGAGAATATTTTGGCTTGCAGGTTATATAAATTTATACATATTAACAGGAGAGCCAAAGCTGCTGAATGATGTGACCAGGGTGACAAGGTATGCAGGATAGGTAGGAGGATGGGGAGGGATGTTTTTAAGAACAGTTAAAGTTCGTCTTATCTTCCACTTTAACAGGGTGGTGGTGGTGGATGAATTACTAAGAGTATGTGTAATTTCATGGAAATCGTTGGGCTGTTCTTATATTTGTGTTTCAAGTGTGTATTCCGCTGTTTGTTGTAGTTACCTTTTCATTTTACTTCATACAGATGTAACATAGAAGAAGTATGTAAAGTTGCTGAATATCTGAGGGTGGATGAAGTTGTTTCAGTATGCTTACCTAAAATGGACTCTGCTTCGGTGGTGAAAACCTGTGTTACAGAGTACCCCTAGCTAAGGACTTCCAAGGTACACATAAAGACTGTTCTGTTTATCACCCATGTAGCACAAGTAATACAGACAAAGGAGAAGCTATATGTTTTGCCAAAAAAGTTGCAAATAAGAAATCTCTTAGGAGCAATAAATGGAAACGGACAATGCTTTCTCATAAAAGGTGCCTGAAAAAGGTTCCTGAACAGCAGAATCCTGTCACCAACTCTGCTCTCAGTGTGGAGGCAGGTCAGATGGATGAAGCCTTGACTGAACATTTCTCCCAGGTTAAGGATCACTGCTTACTATCTTATACAACTGCACTGAACTGTGAAAACCTTCTAAAGGAAGATAGTGCGGCACAGCTGTCAGTTGGGAAGAAAAAATACATCAAGTCAAAGCTAAACTCCACTTTGAGAGAACACTGCATGAGTAACATTAGAGAAGAAGCTGATGCCTGCAAAATGGAAGGCATAGCAAAGGACATTGAACAGAAATACCACAAAAATAAGCCTACATGTAGTATATGTTGTAAAGTTTTCTCAGAAGGCAGCAGCCTCCGGCGCCACATGCGGATTCACAAAGGTGTGAAGCCATATGTATGCCATTTATGTGGAAAAGCTTTTACTCAGTGTAACCAGCTGAAAACACATGTACGGACTCATACAGGTAAGACTAAATTGCACATTAGGTGTGCGTGAATATATTCCTGACATGTCACAATGTATGCCATTACAGTAATGTTTAACCACTTCACGTCCGAACACTCACCCCCTTTCAGTCCAGGCCAATATTTAGCTTTCAGCGCTAGCACACTTTGAATGACAATTGCGCGGTCATGCAACACTGTACCCATATGAATTTTTTAGCCTTTTTTTGAGACAGATAAAACTTTATTTTGGTGGTATTTATTCACCACTGGGATTTAAATTTTTTGCTATATAAATTAAAAAGTCCAAAAACTTTTATTTGCAAATAAATAATCTTTCTTCATAAATCTTGGCCAAAATGTTTTCAGCTATCTTTTTAGTAAATAAAAAAAAAAAAACAACCCAAATTTAGTTTATAACCAAAAAATTATAATTAAAAAAAAAAATTTTAATTTTCTTTTTTTTTTTTAATATTATTTGTTTTTTTTTTTAAATTACTATCACCCTAGCAGTACAATGTCACCATAGTGACACTGTACTACTTGTATGGGGTGATGAAGGATTTTTTTTCTTTTTTTACACTGATTGCTTTTACACCCATAAAGGCTGTAAAAGCAATCATTTCTCCTGTCTGGCTGCATTCCTGCAGCCATTGAGAAATGCTGTGAGAGCTGTGATTGGTCACAGCTTGTTACATGGTACAAGGCTGTTGTGAATAGCCTTGTACCATGTGACCTCTGATCCTTCACAGATTTCACAAGTAGTATACAATGATATCAGGAAGTGGCATCTTTATTTACTACTGTTCATGTGATCACTGATTGGCCAATCAGTGATCAAATGAATCGGGACCTCACACAGAGGTTCCGTACAGCGATCTGTGTTCCACTGTGTCTTCCGGACACAACAGGCACCGATCGCGGTGCTGCGCGCTCCCAGGGAGCGTGCACAGGCAATGGATGCGGGGGCACATTGGCAGCACTCCCATCTGGCTGTTTATCATCATGGGCCGCACAGGAAGAGGTTGAAAAAAAAAAATACCTTTTATAACTTAACCTCTTCACGCTGAGCGCACGCAAATGTGCAGCCTCTTGGCATCTGGGCCTTGATGCCGAGCGGCCGCATGTTTGTGTGCAATTAAAAAAAACGTATGTGCTGAGAGCATGACCCTAAAACCCTGCCCGCCTCCCGGCTTCTGAAACCCTTAAATGGCCGGGAGGCGCCGGCACCAAGGGGTTAAAGAAGTTCGTGGCCTATATTCAAGTGACTTTGCCTAAGATAGATGATGTCTTTTTTTTTTTTTTTCAAGTGATCACTTAAATTACAGCACTGAAACATTGTAGCAAGTGACAAGGTGAGAGACCAAGGGCCCTTTCACACAAGCAAACTGATAGAGTCTGCCTGTTCGTTTTTCAGGTGGACCCAATCGGACCACGCAGTGGGAAGGTGGATGTCAATAGATGTGTCCGTGTACACCTGCCGGCATCCGATCCGCTAAGAACAGACGGATGGGGGATCCATTCCCCATCCATTTAGCGGGTCAGATTGGATGACAGACAGATGTAAACGGACAGTCAGTCCAAGAACAGCGGGCTCAGTCTGCCTGTGTGAAAGGACCCTAAGTTCCCATTGACGTGGCAAAAATGTGCAAGGTGTGGTAAAAATACAGTGGAGCTGCTTGCATCCAGGGGCGATCATCTATCCCTAACTGCCACTGATCATTCCATGTGTGATTACATCTAAACACCAGTGAACAACTGTGGCCACTGTCAGCCTGTGATTGCTTTATATAGACATAGAAGTTTAAACTGTCTTCATACACCTGTACATCCAGTTGCAGGAATCTGCTGGATCCTTTCCATACCTTGCACGTTTTTTGCCATGTGAATGAAGTCTAAAGCAGGCTGATATGTATTAGATATTTGTGAAAAAAGTACACAAACACAAGGATTAAGGGATCATTCACACTTGACTATTTTACCAACTCTTTCTAAACACCCCTATAGCGTTTGGCAAGCGTTGGTCCGGCGTTTGCTTTGCGGGGTTTTTTTTTTTTACTGCTCGGCAAACGCTCCGCAAATGCCGCATGCACGGTTCAGCGGCGGTTGCTAGGCGTCTTCCGAGTGTTAAAAACGCCCTACAAACGCCTATAATGAAGTTTGAATGGTGTTACCGCTCCGGAAACACCCTGCAACCGCGTGCACAGCAGCACCTAAGACTAGAATAGGAGGCTTCAACGCCTCCTGACTCGACCAGAGGCATCCATTTTGCCGCGACGCTAACGCTCCCGTTAGAACAGCACCATGTGCTGCAATGTGCAGAATTGTCGGAGGCGTTTTGGGAAGTGGTAAAAACGCTTCCCAAACGCCTTTCTGCCGCCTGCACACAACGCTAGTCTGAACGTAGCCTTACTTTAGCTTGTCATCTCTGAGCCAGCATCTCAGTCGAAAAAGTAGAAGTTGACCCTCCAGAAGGGAGATGAGCCCCATAGAAGTCTATGGGACTAATGCACAGGTGTTGTCATGACAGAGAGAACTTGTGACACTGGTTGTAAACAATCCCGGGAGACCACTGCCCTCGGATCTTTGATCTTGGAAGGGAGGTTTAGATTGGTTAGGTCCGGGGCTAAATGAATATGTGCACTTTGTTTAAAAAGTGGATTTATCTTCTGATAAATGGGCCCCAGTAATATGGTTAGCACTCATCTCACAAACGTTGACTGTATAAGTATTTTTCAGTAGTAGTGCTAACAATATCCCTTCCTATATTTCTGAAGTTCCCCAGGTAAATTGCAATATACTGTATCTATGTTCATCATGATACCATCTTTCTATAGCCCTCTGTATGTTGCAAATTATTGTTTTACCACTTGCCCTCCAGAAGATTTACCCCCCTTTCAACTAATAATTATGCAGCCACGCAGTGCTGTACCCAAACAAAATGTATGTCCCTTCTTTTTTCTTTTTTTTTTTACACAAATAGAGATTTCTTTTGGTGGTATTTTTATTTTTTATTTCTTGCGCTATAAACAAAATAAGGCTGACAATTTTGAAAAAAAAAACTATATTTTTTACTTTTAGTTATAAAAGTTATATTTTTTATATATATATATTTATTTATTTTTTTACTTTTTTTTAACTGTAACAAGCAGATCTTAAGGTTTCTCTAAAATGTGATAGCCAGTTTCCTGACTACCTAACATCTTTTGAGACCCAGTGTATACATGAGGACAGGAGGGACAAAAAAAACAGGTATCACGCCTAATTCTATGTCTGCCACAGACACAACATCTTTTTTGGGGTGACTTTTTTGGGTTGGGGTACCAGGAATCACATCAGCAAAATGCCTCTCATGCAGCCTGGGCATCTGGGTTAGGGGGGGTCCACAGGAATCTGGATACAAAAGGGCCGCGATGATCTCTTCCTGGAATTTTAGGAAGGATGCACTTCTTGCAGTTGCTTTGTAAAGCACAAAAGCGTTGTACAGAGCTAACTGAATTATACAGACACTTTTTGTACTAGAGTCTGGCTTTGCGGAAAAGTAAGTATGGCTTTATCATCTGGCCATTGAAGTCCACCCCTCTCATGTTAAGGTCATAGTCGTGGACACAGAGGGGCTTCTCAACAACACCAGCTGCCGTGGAAATTTGGAGGGTCTTGTGTGCGTGAATGGAAGACAGGACAAAACATCCAGTTTCTCCTTCCACTTCACTGCCAGCAATTCATCATTTTTCAAGCAAGCTTTCTCCCCCTTTCTAAGATGGGTATGTACATGCCATTCGGAGAAATCCCGGCAATTAGGTCGCACGGTGCCACACGCGCCAATTCCAAGATTGTACAAATGTCTAAATAGTGGCACGCTTGTATAAAAATTGTCCATGGATAAGTGGGACCTTATATGGAAAAAGGGTGACACCAAGTCGCAAACTATCTTGCCACTGCTCCCCATGTAGGCTGGGTATCCAGGGGGCTCCACATGACTATCTTTTCCCTCGTAAATCCAAAAATTACATGTATAGCCTGTTGCCCTCTTCCAGGTCTTTAAACATTTTGACCCCATATCTGCAATGCTTGCTGGGGAGAAATTGTTTGAATGCAACTCAGCCAGAAAAATTAATGAGGGACTCATCAACACAGATGTTGCTGGGTAGTATACACATCTGCAGGGTGATTTACGAGGGGCTGACTTTTGTGGAGCCAGTCAAATTCAGGATCACCCCAAGGACAACAGAGTGTTCTGTCATTGAAATGCATAAATCACGTTATATTCTCATATCTATGCCTGGCCATGGCAGCAGAGAACACAGGCATATAATGAATCGGGTCTGTGGACCAATACAACCACAATTCATCCATTTAGCAATGTCCATGTTGAGTGTAAGGCCCAAAAAAAGTTAAATTCTGAAACCATAATTGGTTTCCATGCAAATGGTCTGGTAAGGTTTGAATTTGGGTGGCGGCAATAAATTTTGTGCGTATAAATTGCTTTGATCCAAAATCTATCATACAGATCTTCCGTGAAAAAGAGCTCCAAAAAATCAAGGGGAGTAGTTAAATTTTGTTTTCACCTGAATTCTGGGTTGGGCATTGAATGGGGGAAGTACGGGTGCTGCAGAATTTGTGGGAAGCACATCCAGAAGGACACTATGGGCTCTACGGGCCTGTGTTCAAATTCTTGGTGGCTGCATGACACTACTTGTGCTAGCCAATGCACCAGCTTTTGCTGCACTTAGGGGACTCGCCACATCACCAAGTGATACTGCAGTGCAGGTATGAAAAAAAAAACAGGATGTACTAGGAAGCTGGTGTTCGCCAGTTCACCAAAAGGTAGAGCGGCACTAGTACTGGCACTCTGCTGCATATGAGAATCATCATGCAATTGTAACACCTCAGCAACCTGGGAACGAGTATGCCTGATCTTAGCAGGGACCTCTTCTCCATCGTCTGACCTATCTGTCAGGGTCTACAGGTTCGTATTCTGAGCCTGATTCTGTCAGTGAGGCTTCCCCTTCGCTCTCATCTGACATGCTCAGAATCCTGTGGACCTCTTCACTAGAGTACCTTTCATTGGACATTTTGGCCACCTAATTTCTAGGTACCTAGCACAACTAACAGGGAAATAGGGCACCTGGCTGTCAGGCACTGCTTGAACTGCTACAAAAAAATGTACCTGCTAGCACTAGCAGAAATCAGTCCTGGTCTTGCTAACCCTGCAGTTTTGTGTGCAGTGTATCAAGTGACAGTGATCTACTGACACTGCACTTTCTAGGGGAGAAGGGGGGGTTAAATATAGGGACTAAATGCTGATCCTGCTAAGGCTGCATTTTTGGGGACACTGTACTATTGTGAACGCTGGTATAGTGCTGATCTGATCAAAGATATTGATCCGTTCAGACACTATACTAGCAATGGAGGTTTATTATGCAATCATAGGCATTTTAAAGACATTAACCATTAGCCGCCCGGCCAATGGCCGTTTGGCGGCTTCAAAAGTGTCTCTGCACTCCGGGTGCACGCCATTTGGAGTGCTCCCGCACATGCGCAGTTTACGCTAATGCAGAGAGGCGCAGCAGTGCGATCTGTCACCGGCCGTGCACCTCGGACACGGCCGATGACAGATCCGAGTACCGGCTCCCGCTGCTGGTACCATGTGACCTGCTGTGACCAATCACAGCAGGTCACATGACAGTTGTATACAATGGATGGCTTCATTCATGATGCCATCCATTGTATACTAGTGCCTAGCTGTGAATGGTCACAGCTAATCACATGCACATGTCATGTGATTAGCTGTGACCAAATCACAGCTAAGCACAAAAAAAAAAAAAAAAAAAGCTGAATGAATCGATTTCATTCAGGTAAATGCTTGCTTATAGCAAAGTAATTCTTTGCTATAAGCAAATTGTGTAAAAAAAAAAAAAAAAAAAAAAAAAAAAAATACTGATCACTTCCCCAAAGTAGTACAATGTTACTATGGTAACATTGTACTACTTTGGTCATAGTAAAATATGAAAAAAAAATCTTAAAAAAAAAAAAAAAATAATATAATAAAAAATTAAATATAATAAAAAAATTTTAAAAAATATATATATATATTTTTTTCATACTGTCACCAGTCAGTGTCCCCTGTTCACCACCATGCCAGTTATATGATGATGCTGTACTGCACTGGTGACAGTATGTAAAAAAAAAAATAGTGAAAATAATTTTTTTAATTTTTTCATTTTCCGAAAAATGATGACAAAAAAATACAACTTCAAAAAACTCGCCATGCCTCTTATGAAGTACGTTGGACTGTCTACTCTGCAAAAAAGGGTCATTTGGGGATATCTGTACTATTCTGACATTCTTGGACCTCAAGAAATTAGATTGCCTGTCAGTACTTCAGGATTGATCAATATTCAGATCTATACCATAGTTTGTGAACTCTATAACTTTCCTACAAACTAAAAAATACATCCTAATTTGGGTTATTTTCACCAAAGACATGTAGCAGAATACATCTCGGCCTAAATTTATGAAGAACAATTATTTATTTGTAAACTTTTATAACAGAAACAAAGAAAAATGTGGGGTTTTTTTTTTTTTCAAAATTTTTGGTCTTTTTTTGTTAATTTAGCAAAAAATAACCCCAGCGGTGATTAAATACCACCAAAAGAAAGCTCTAGTTGTGTGAAGAAAATGATAAAATTTTAGTTTGGGTACAGTGTTGTATGACCGCGCAATTGTCATTCAAAGTGTGAGAGCGCTGAAACGTGAAAAATGGCCTGGGCAGGAAGGTGTAAAATTGCACGGTATTGAAACAGTTAAAAGGCTGAAAATAACCTTATCAAAAGCATGTTCAGGAAAGGAGCTTTTGGTCAGAAAAATAAAAGCTTGGAACGGGTAAATGCTCTTAAGCTTTAGACAAGTTTAGCACTTGAGCTTTCATTCCAGTGGCCAGAAAAAATCAATATGCTGGCCAATGGAATCCATAAGCTCTCAAAAGCTTGACATGCCTAAATACATGTGCAATATGTGGCTTTAAGCACTTATTTTTAAGCTGCTTTTTCCTGTGTACATGACCCATAAAAGTAATAAACATAGGCAAAGCGTATTTTAAGAAGGAGCCCAGCAGTGGCAGCCTATTTCTTACATGACAGGTTATACTATTAGAATGAGTGATATGTTTTTGGTTAAGCAGAATCCCTTCCATTCTAGTTGAACAAAATATTTCTCTTTTTTTTTTTTGTCTTAGGAGAAAAGCCATATCAATGTAAACTCTGCGATAAAGGATTTGCCCAAAAATGCCAGTTGGTTTTTCATAGACGAATGCATCATGGAGAGGAAAAGCCATACAAATGTGATATGTGCAATCTACAGTTCGCAACTTCAAGCAATCTTAAAATTCATGCTAGGTCAGTGATGTGCACCCATACAACCTAGCATTAGGAATGAAAAATATATTACAAAATTTTCAGTTTAATATTTTATAAATTTTGATCTATGTGCAGCAGTATTTTTATTATAAAAAAATAAATAAAAGTTTGTAAAGGCCTACAATATTTCTTTACGTTTAAAATACACACAAATAGAGTGGCTACCCGCTATACCTGATAAGAAACAGTGTGCACCAAAGGGGGTAGAATGAGAGTGCCTCTGAGGACTGTAGCCTCTTGCTAGTCATTTTTTTTTCCATGAAACTTTGATCCTTCAGTGCTAGAAAACATTGTGAAAAAATGAAAAAAAAAAAAAAAAAAAATGGGACGCTATTGTGAAATTTCCTAAGGATTATGGACATTCCAAATTAGGGGTTCTTGGTTATGAATAATCAATCATATGCTTTAGCTCAGCACCTGGGGGTTCACTGAGCTGTGGCTAAATGACCTCCCATTTGATTTCTGCATAGTTCTAGGGCCAGTGCCACTTGTCAAATTCAATGGCATGACATCAATGATCTTTTTTTTAGCCATCTGTAAGGTTGGCATTCTGACCACCATTGTAAAGGGGCATTCTTCTGACTGTCCACCAATATAAGTGCCACTTTTCCTACTGACCCCCAAAGAATAAGTTCTAGCAGGGTTTCCCCAAGACGTGAAAATTAATTCAAGGGTTCAAAGGTAAAAGGGTTGAGAAGGGCTGCTTTAACATGTTAAAGCTTATTTTAGATTTTAATGATTGGGTGTAGACCTATTTTAAGCAGTGTCGCAATGAGAAAAAAAGGCTATACCCCTGCATGCTTTTTTTTTTTTTTTTTTTTTTTTGGCAAAATTTTGCATTTGATCAAAGTACATCTTTAATTATTCTTCTCTACATAGTCTGTATAACAAAAACACTTTCTGAAATGACACTAACTGGTGCTCTGCTTGCTTTATGACAGAAAACACAGCGGAGAAAAGCCATATGTCTGTGACCGATGTGGTCAGAAGTTTGCACAGGCCAGTACCCTAACATACCATGTCCGCCGTCATACAGGAGAAAAGCCATATGTCTGTGACACATGTGGGAAAGCATTTGCTGTATCAAGTTCTCTAATTACTCATGCAAGAAAACACACAGGTAACAAAAATACAAGACTTATTAAGGACTTTGTTCAAAGTACATAAAACAGATACTTTGGTGTCGTGGGAGATTTGGCATTATAAAGCACAGTCAGGCTGCTTACCTAATTTAGCCATACACAGTTAGAATTTCAGCTGATCCTTACTGAAGCAGCTGAAATTTGAGCCGCGGTTGCCCCAGTCAACACCACCAGGCTCAACAAGCATTGAGTAAAAATTTAAGCAGCTGGGTGTAAAACTATCAGCTGAACTGTGAATGCATTGAGTCAGTTACTGTTTGGGTTTTCAGACAGCCGTGGGTGCTGTAGTTTTGTATATACAACAGCAGGTAGGGGAGATTTTTCTATCCACGCTGTTTAGTGAGGATGGTGGAATCTACCACGTCAATCAAGAGAAATACATGCTTGTATGGCTAGCTTTAGACTCCATTGCTCTGACAATGTTCTGCTGGGTAGCCTCAGGCTGTCTATTTGTGAGAACTTTTCATTGATATTTTCCTAGTGATCTGCCTTGTTCACTCTTGGAGAGCTGAGATTGTGTTGACAATTATTCTTTTAATATGCGCAGTCTATAGGTGAGCATACATGAAAGAGTTTTTTAAATATTATGATCTTATCTTACAAAAGATAAGTGGGTGTTTTGATTTGATTTAATAAATCAAAATAATTGGAAATTCTTTTTAGTAAAATTGATGCGTATGTGTGTGATTAAACAGGAATATACAGTATATAGATTGATAATGACAATATCTAGCAAAAATCAAAGGAAACATTTTGTGTATGGACATGCAATGAGCAGTTTGGCTAGCTGCACTTTCTGTCCATGCCTTTGTAATGCCCACAATTTGGGACAGAGCTACAGCCAGAAAAAGAGAGGTTTTTAATCCCCTACAGGGCTAGTGATCCAAACAGTACCAAGTGTTATACGCACTTGGCCTCCTTTTGGGATTAAAGTGTTACTAAACCCAGGACTACCCATTCACTACATCTGGTCCCCCACAGTACACACAACATGGAAGTGCAATTATTTTAGTAAATATAAACTGCTAAATACCTTTTCTTATCAGCAGTATATAACAGTCTTGTGACTTCTATCAGTGTCTGGCTGAGCACTGGAAAACCTTGAAAGGGGAGTTTGAATTCTCCTTTGACAGTTCCATGAGGCTGCATTACCCCTGACCCTCTGTCTTGACAGGGCCGATTGTCCCTGTGCCAACCACATGCACCCTCCCCCCCAAAAAAATTCCTAGCAATGCACACCAAACTGAGCATGTGCAGAGTATTGTCTATGGCTCTGTAGTATCAGCAGATGGATTGAGGACTGGGAACAAAATTTTATGTAACTTTCACTACATAATTCATTATTATTTTTTTTTACAAATTGCACCCATGACAGTGGTTTCACAGAACATTTTGGGCCATTTCACACAGGTGGCAAAGGATCAGCATTTGTACACATTGATTTAATATTCTCCTGTATAAACAGAGCTGGGAGGTGGAAGGAAATAAAATGAATCACTCTTCTTACTAATTCACGTGTGCATAAATCGAGCTTGAGCTATTGAATGCCATCAGACAGTGAAGACCGTTTTTTTTTAATTGGCCTGGTAAATGTGAACATTAACCTAATGGTACTTCTGCTGGCTGAAAATGTAAATATGAAATATGCTGATGCAATATTTTATATTGATTTGACAAAAAATATTTTTATAATTGTCATTTTAAAATCTTGAATATAAATAAATGAAGAAAATGTATACAAGAACAGTATGCGCTTCCTGTAATATGCACGGACAGGGAGTGTTCGATTTGGTGGGTTCCAATATGGATGACATGTAAAGACATCAGTCCACATCTTTAAATCTGCATGGCTAATGTTATTTGTGGTTCCTACATCATATAATATACCATATGTACCCCTGAAGAAGACAAGTGTTCAAAACATGTTGAGTCTCACCAAATTAACTAAATTGAAGCAAAAGACTCTGTCATCTGTATAATATGCAGAGAATGTAATGGTATATTGTATCATCACAAATTGTTAATTGTGGACTACAATAATACTATTATTGGTTATGACAGATGTTTTTATCATTTGTGTTAATAAAGGCACCTGTGATTTTAATCTGATCTGGTTATTACATTATTATTACATTTGTCAGTAAAGTGCCTATAAAAGTCCCAGCTACATATAGGAATATTCTTTTGAGGTGTCATTGATTAGAAGTGTCTGCATTACCACCTGCTGTGGTTGGCTATAGCAACTCATCAATGTCTCAAACATTTTCTATGCTGATGCAGAGAGAGAAAGAGAAGAATTGGGTTGGTCGCAATGGTCAATAATAAACGTTCTTCATTTAGAAAATTAAATTATGAGGCTCACTGGTATTTATTTGGAATGTTCTTTGTAAATAATATACAGTTTGATGTTATGCTTGCCAGTGCATTGACTTCTACTTGCAATACATAGGGGAAAAACCTTACATCTGTGGAGTCTGTGGGAAGAGCTTCATTTCTTCAGGAGAACTTAATAAACATTTCCGGTCTCATACAGGTATGATATTCATTTTTGAAGATTTTTTTTTTCCTCTAAGGACAGCTGTAATTTGACTAACTTTAGGAACCCATTTCCCCCCAAACTAAATTGTACTGACTTTCCACATTTTTGCTGCTTGCTTATCTTAAATTGGCCATGCATAGCTTGAATTTCAACTGATTCATCCTGATGGCACCACCCAGCTCAACAAAAATCAATTTTTCAGTTGACTTTTGTCAAATGAGTCAAGCTGAAAATTGGCGGCCAAACAGTGAGAGCAGGATCCTGCCAACTACTGAATACAATAGCTAGCAGGGAAATGTCTTCCTTTTTAGCTTGGATGGAGGAATCAACTATATATCTCTTATTTGGACAAATATACATGTATGGCTAGCCTTGGTTCCGGAGCTGTGGCCTTTTCCTGTGTTCACATCCCCTGTGGAAAAATGAGTTTAGTGAAAGGTACACTTCAAACATGGACAAAGTAAACTGCGCATATGATGAAAACAAATGTGAAGACAATAAGGAGATCAGCTAATATAGAGTTGGTTTATTATATTTTTTGCTGATTGTGTCCCGTTGGGAAGCGTTCTTTTTCTCTGAAGGGAATTCTATTCTGAATCAGTCTTCACAGGTGCAAGTGTCACTACTGAAAGATTTATCTTTACCTCTTGTTTTGGTGACACCTGTAAAATTTTGATTTTCCCATTACTTGTTTGTATTGGTGACAAAGGTCATCAGCCCCAGCGTTGACACCACAGCGATAAAAACTATACAGGGCTTCTAATCCTTTATCACTGCATCCAACACTAAAAAAAAAAATGTTTCTACACTGGTATTCGGCATTCTATGCTAGGTGGACCATTTTAATAAAATGAAATGTCTCTCCGTCTTCTACTGTGGAGGAGTGGAAAATGGCTATTAATGCAGTTTTCCCGCTATATAAGTTTACATATGCAAGTCGTAACTGCCCACGCAAATTCAACAAAATTTGGTCCAACTGGATATATGCCAAAGTAATTACTGTCTGACAAACACCAATGCCTGCATACTACTGCTGTCCTGGGGCCATGGCTTGGACTATGATACATTTCTATAAGACAAGTAACCTGTATACCTGGCCTTTGCATCCCCTTTTATTTCCCTCCTGCCCCTTCTAGTTTTCTCTGCCCCCCTGCTCCTGCCTTTCCCCTTTGCCTCCCTCACCCTTGTCCTGTATACCCCATTTGTCTTGGATAGTAACATGTGGCGAAATGTAGATTGTATTTATAATCAAAATGTTAATACTGCAGTGCCTTTCCATGTTCGCCTAATGTTTACTATTGAGCTTGCCCTGTAATATCTGCAACAACAAAATTTAAAATATTTTTAATCCAAAAAAAAAGGTTTTTTAGCTTTACATTCACTTTAAATTTATTTTTTTCAATGCAAGCAGTGTAAATTCCTGAATTTTACCTGGTGTTAGTCTCTGTGTGACTGATCTCAGAGTGGGAGAAGGACAAGCAGTACAGGAAGCCAATTCATTAAAGTCCTGAATGTGAGCTTGTTGACAGGAGGAGAAAGCAGAGTGACAAATAGATAATCTTATCACCGTGCTGCTTCTCCTTCACTGTTCAGTCACAGGATGGGGATGGGTTCTTGACAGCCTGGGGATCAGAAAAAGCTGTCATTCAAACCAAAATTGGGACAATTAGTGATGGAAAAATTGATTCCTGCCCTGCGGTACACGTGGGTTGGAAATACCATCAGTGCAGAAGCTGATAAAAGTATTGGCTCTTCTGCGTTACCAGTATAAATCTTTTACATGCTAGCTTGGGGCAGAGCTTGCTACCTGAAGGACACAAGCACAAGAATCTTATGCTCCTCCTGGGTGACTACAAGACTGGTGTGAGTCCTGGGTCTGTCTGACACACTTGCCTAAACAACATCTGCAGAGCATGCTTAGAAATGTTGTCAATGTTGTTTAAACCTAGCATCACATAAAAATGTACAGTTCGCTGAAAAAAAACCTGACTTTTGTAACATTGCTATGACTTCAGGAGAAAGGCCTTTCGTCTGTGAAGTTTGTGGAAATTCTTACACAGATGTGAAAAACTTGAAGAAACATAAGCTGAAAGCACACTGTGGTAAGTTAACGTACTTTGTGATCTTCGTGCTAAGAAATTATTGTTGAATAATTAAGACCACTCTAATTGTTAGAAGCTGCCATGTATAGTACATATAAATCGTATTTATCCTCTTGGAAGCTTTCATGTTTTATTGTCAGAGAACATTAAATTAAAATGGACTTTACCTCTTGCCAATGAGGTTATGCACTCATGCACAAAACTGTGATAGTTCTAATTTTTTTATGTCACAACCTATTATTGCAATGGTTTATCAAATGCATATTTTCAGTAAAAAGTGCATGAAAGTTTTTATAAAGTATTGACCACTGAGGATTTACTCCCCTTCCTGACCAGGCCATCTTTTGCGTTACGGCGCTGCATTACCTTAACTGACAATTGCTCGGTTATGCCGCGCTGCACCCAAATGAAAATATGTCCTTTTTTTTCCCACGAATTGAGCTTTCTTTCAGTGGTATTTGATTACCTGTGCGTTATTTTTTGCGCTATAAAAAAAAAATGACCGACAATTTTGAGAGAAAAAAAATATATTTTTGATTTTTTGCTATTAAACATGTCCAGTAAAAAAAAATAAAATTTTGTCATATATTTATGCCAAAATGTATTCTGCTATATGTCTTTGCTAAAAAAAAAATCCCAATACGTGTAAATTAATTAGTTTACATGAAAGTTATAGCATTTACAAATGGTGGTATATATACTGGGATTTTTTTTTTCTTTCTACTAGTAATGGCGGCGATCAGCGACTTATAGCGGGACTGCGGCGGGCATTCTAACACTGGGGGGTAACTGACTTGGTGTCACTGAAATCCCCGTTAACGCCATTACAATGATCAGTGCTAAAAAAGCACTGACACTGTACTAATAGCACTGGGCAAGAAGGGATTAACATGAGGGGCGATCAAAGGGTTAACTGTGTGCTGCGAGTGTTTTACTAGGGGGCGTTGTCAGTGTGCTTCACTGTAATCAAACTGCTTTGCATGGCTGTGCTGTGCACAGCCATCCAGAGCAGTGTGCCCGAACTGATACGGAGGAGAAATCTTAGTAAACAAAACAGTACTCCGGAAATCCTCGGAATCACTGGGCGCCGACGAGTAATCACCAACCGGGACTTGGTGATTGACACCCGCGGCCGCGAATGGCAACATGGGTGGGGGGCGCGCACCTCCTACCTGTCAATGCAAAATCGCGTATATAGATGTGATTTTGCGCACCACTGGCGCCCTGTGGTGCTATTTCTGCTGTAGGGTGGTTGGGAAGCGGTTAAAGATGATGAGGTTGTAATGAGTAAATACATACCAAACATTTCAAGCTTAAAAATTGCATGCACAGGTAACACGCCAACTAACTTTGGTAAGCAAAAATTTCCAAAGGCAGCACTTTAAAAGCCCTACAGGTATCTGCTTTAGAGTTGAATGTAAATGATGGCTCTAGAATTATTGCTGTCCAGTGTGCAAGATGGAGTACCATGTCAATGGAAGCAAAAGGTTTTAAAGAGAGTTTCCTTAACAGTGGCTGCATAGGAGTGAATTATGAAACAGATTTACTAATACTTTTACAGAAAACTATGGGACATACAGTGAATGTATGATCATCTCCCTTCCAGGCAGTATTGAGTTGCTTTTTGTTTCTCTCGTTATACTATGTTGTTTGCCTTTTGCAGGGAATGAAGATGGAGATGAATCAGAAACCGTTGATGGCACAGTCAGCAATGAAGACTTAGCCAAGAAAAGCCCGGTGCCAGACACACTTGACCTGAAGCCGTCTGAGCTGTTCTTACCACTCACACTACACATTGGTCCGGAAGACCATCAGATGCTGCTGCCCCTGACAGATAATCAGAGTCTTTCTTCTGAGTCTTTATTAAGGACATCTGTGACTAATTATACAGAGCCACAGTTTATATTTTTACAGCAAATGTACTGAGAATTGCATTACAATATTGTTTCCACACAGTGAGTAACATAGAAAAACAATATAACTTGGCAGGCATTTTTTAACTGCTGTTATCAGTAGCAATACAAAATTTTATTTCTGTGACCTGTGGTGTCAAGGAAAACTCAGTTTAAAGGAGAATGTCAGTCCTAAAGCCAATTTCTTTTAATTTTTAGATCCACCGCTTGGAAAAAAAAAATCATGCACGTAACATACATTTTGACGTCTGTAGCAGTAAAGGGCCCAATATCTATGCATTATAGTATCATGCGTCAATGCACCACAGACATGTTAGGGCAGTCTGGTGCCATTCATTTTCATTATCTACCCAATGCACTAAGGAAACACACTTGTGTTGCAATGCACCACAACTGGGTACAATACCATGTGTTGTGGTGCACAGTTACAAAACATAGTGCAGGTCAAATTTTGGCCCATTGTGGTGTGATGACAGTTCATTAAAATGAACAATGTACCACAAAGGACACTTTAGGTGTCAGTGGGCCCTAAGGAAACCTAAGGCAGTTATTTTTTCTGTTTCCATGGCTTTTAAACAATAAACTAGTCATAACAAACAAACACAGCTCCATTCGGCAATAAGTACTGCAAAAAATAACAAATGCACATTGCATGAAACTAAAATGATTTGCATATATCTGTAAATGTTCTCCTGAGTGCAGTAGAGTGTGTCTGATACATGGATTGCTGCTGAGGACTTGTGCAAAAGCAGTCGATCAGATCCTTTCTGTCATTTTCTGAACAGAACAGGCTTGCGGAGCCAGATTGGTTACTATGGGCAGTGTCTTCACTTTCCTTTTCCTTTCTTTTGGTTTGCATAAAATGGACCTATAACTGGTTTGCTGCTGTTTAAATTGTATCTAAAGCCACTTTGGATAAAGCAAAGAAGGATTAGAAATTTAGTTGGAGGCTCCATTGCAGGGATTCCAACACCTCCTGTCTGGTAAAAAGGTTGTTCCCAATACAGTAATGGGAAATCTAACAGCAACACAGACAGAACTAAAAATTGTATTTTCTCTTTTAAGGGATTTCTTGAATGTTTTTCAGGTTTTTTTTTATTGCTCTCTGTTTCACATTTTCACTCACTTCCAGTCTGGAGAAAGGTTGGCTCTGAAACAGAGTGAGGGGAAACCTCTATAATGGAGCTCTGGATAGCAGTAAAATCAAATAGGTTCTAATCCTTCCCCACTCTATCCAAAATATAAAAAAAAAATGTTTTGACTGTAGCTGCACTTTATTATTTGGCTTTAGGACTTGTCTGTATGTGTCTGTCATGAGTGTAATTTGCAGTTGATATCTGTGCTTCTTAATCACATCCTGATCCAAATGCTCTTTTTCTTACACACCTGTCGCTGAGTACAGCATAGTCTATATATGAAGTGCTTCACCTTGCAAGTGTCTTATTTTCTCTAACCTCATTTACCATTCTGCAATTGTTTTGGGGCCCGTCATTTTTTTTTTGTGGGGCTTTTGCAAGTAAATATCTGTTCTGACAATCTAGAAGCTCCAGAAATTAATTGTAGGGTTCCATTTTGGGTTCTGAACCCTATTGGTTGTGCACCTAATATCTTTTGGTTTTACCAAGCTGTGCGCCACCAGTAATGTAATTATAGGGGCCAGAAGTAAGTAAATGCTTTGCATCAGTAGAGAGTACAATTGCCTTTATTTAGGAATATGGGCAAGAGGTCAGAGTAAAAATACACATTGTTATCAGGGGCTCATTTGCCCAAATGTCTGTATAAATGCAGTTTAAAGAGAGTACAATAGTGGTAATATCACTATAGTGATAAACATTTTTGCATATGTACAGCAAATAAGTAGGTTTACTTGAAGTTAAAATACTGTTGCACTAGGTGTATTGTGCTCTGTTCTCTTCATTTTTTTTTTTTGTAAGAATTTTTAACATGATATGATATGACACAATAGTACACTGATTTCTCTTAGATATACTAATAGCAACCTAGCACTTTTCACAGTCTATTTGCTCAAATATAAGGTGCCTTAAGTAATTTATTTCAGGTAGGTGCAGTGTTGTGTTTGTCTGTATTTATAAATGTTAATAGAACTGCTCTTTTAAAAAGTGCACAGCAGTCACATGCTATTACCTTGCCTATATAGTGTACCTGTCAAACATTAACAGTGCAGGTGCCTAGTTTGTGGGCTGAACCAGCATTTAGTCTGTTATTTATAAAAAAAAAATCAGTGACATTATTCTGACAGTGGCACAGATATCACATTGATATCATTAGATCTTGGTGAAGTGACAAGCAACTCTGCTTCGGTGTTCTCTAACTATAGGTTAAAGTGACACTAAAGCTTTGTTTTTGTTTTTTCTCAAATAACAAACATGTCTATACTTACCTGCTTTGTCCAGTGGTTTTGCACAGAGCAGCCCTGATCCTCTTCTTTTCAGGTTCCTGCTGGTGCTCCTGGCTCCTCTCCTTTGAGCAGTGCCCCCAGGGAAAGCTGCTCACTATGGGGGCACCGCTGCATGCTCATCCCTGAGCCACTGCTCTATGTGTCCTTAAGACACAGAGCCACAGCTCAGCCCCGCTCTCTCATAGTCTCACTGGCTGTGATTGACAATAGTGAGAGCCCATTGGCTCTCTCTGCTGTCTCGGCCAATGAGTAGGAAGAGTCCCCAGACAGCAGGGGCTGTCGAGAACGTTGTTGGATGGGAGGGGGCTCAGGTAAGAATTGGGGGGGCGCTGCAAACAGAAGGTTTTTTACCTTCATGCATAAAATACAAAAAAAAACCTTGAGTCTTTAGAACCACTTTAAAGCTATGTGTGAATTTAAAAAAAAAGCAATACTTGACATGGTTTTTCTGCCTTTTCTCTTTGAAATTGTGTGCAATAAATTGTGTTTGCTTAAGAGTAAGGCACCATTAAGAATTGATTTTACACTAGAATTTGATAAAATACAAGATTTATTGTTAGGGATTTAAAGCTAAACTCCAGGCAAAGTAAACCAATAAAAATTGTAAAGATAACGTGTATATGAGGATCCTGATATGGCTTATTAACTTGAGTTAAATTCCATAATTTATGATACCAATTATTATAACTACTACAGTTTTGACCCTGGATAGAAAAACAATTATCTTCTGCAGTTAGAATAAAAGGATAAGTGCACAATTTCTGCATTTAGCCTCCCTGCAGTATCTGACTCTCTCCTGCACCAGATGAATAGTTACCTAAATCTGACAGCTGCAGCTTGCCACAATGTATATATCCTATAGGTAAAATCTTCATTGCTATGAGCCACACCTGTGCAGTAGGTGCTCATTAAGCTTGTCACCTCCAATTTTGAACAGAACAGTCTTTTTTAAATATCCACAACCCCTTCGTCTGGTTTTGTGAGACTGCAGGGTCTATTTTCTCAAGCCTCTAGTGAGGCACCAGCAGTTTTCTGAAAGCTAACATCAAAACCAATGCCTTAAACCAGCACAAAACAACACTTGGGCAAATCTGAACATGAAGATGACCACTCTGAAAAAAACATGCAAAAACACAGGAGTAGCTTTCACCCTAATGGATTAAAAGCTAAGTCGATTTCCAGAAGACTTCAGGGTCATTTGCTGTGTGGCCTATAACCTTATTTGGACACTCCTAGGAAAATAGCACCCAGTCCTCGGCTAAACAGCGCCACCCTCACCCTAAATGAGGCTAGCAGGGTTAATGGCTCCCCACTTACCCATACCTCATTTACAGATGGGAGCAGAGTAAACCAAAATACCACTAATATTAGCAGCAATAACCATGGAGAAGCAGAAGGTCGATTTCCAGGAGGCTTTAGAGCTGTTTGCTCCAACCATCAACTCTTGCCTGACACAAAGTCTGAACATGAAGAGGGGTGCTCCGAAAAATAAAGTGCACAAATTGTAGCAGCTATCACCCTAGTGAATTAGAAGCTAAGTTGATTTCCAGAAGGTTTTAGGTCTGTTTGCTTCTACCATCAACACCTGCATTAAGCAATGTCTGAACAAAAAGAGAGACGCTCTGGAAACAAACTTGCACAATCATTAGTACAGTAGCTTTCACTCTAATAAGCTACACGCCAAGCTGATTTAAAGAAGGCTTCAGGATGGTTTGCTGCAGCCAATCAACTCCTACCTGAAGCAATGTCTGAACATGAAGAGGACCTCTCTGAAAAAAACATGCACAAACAGGAGTAGGTATCACCGTAACGGACTAAAAGCTTAGTCGATTTCCAGAAGACACCTACATAGGAAAATAACACCTAGTCCTCGGCTAAGCAGCTCCACCCCCACCCTAAATGAGGCTAGCAGGGTTAATGGCTCCCCACTTACCCATACCTCATTGACGGATGGGAGTAGAGTAAACCAAAAGGAAGAAACTAACACCCATGCTTAGGCTGGGTCTACAAATTTCCAAAGGAAAGACGCCAACACCTATGTTAAGGCTGGGTCAGTGGGTGGTTTTCAGAGCAGAACCACTACTTTTGAGGAAGATGACTTCGGCACATTGGTAAGAGAAATTCATGTTCCTATATTTTATGCTTGTTTATTTTATGCTTTTTTATCTTTGTTGCTCACATTCTTTTTCCTAATATACAGATTAATTGAACACTGCAGAAAAATGTAAAAAGTACAAATGGGCATATAAAATGGACTGAATGATACAAACCTCTGAAACTTCTGCTTTCCTTTGAGATCCTTTGCCTTGTGGTGAGCATAAACATTCTTAAAGTGAGGATGAATAGAGACTGCTATGAGCCGATGGCCACAGTATCACTGATTATCTTTTGCAGCCCAATAATGGAGTCCTTATAGCAGCCTGCTGTGCTGACCACTATGTTAGATATCATAACTGAGAAACCTGGATCTTCCCTTTTATGCTCCAAACATCAACTCCTGCCTGGAGCAATGTCTGAACAAAAAGAGGGCCGCTCTGGAAAAAACGTGCACAAATATTAGTAGCTATTGCTCTAATGGACTAGAAGCCAAGCGATTTCCAAATGGCTTCAGGGCCAATTGTTCCAGCCTTCAACTCCTATCTGAAGCAATGTCTGAACATGAAGAAGACCACTCTGAAAAAAAATGCACAAATTGTAGTGGCTATGAACCTAATGGATTAGAAGACATGCTGATTTCCAAAAGGCTTTAGGTTTGTCTGCTCCAGCCTTCAACTCCTATCTGAAGCAATGTCTGAACATGAAGAAGGCTCCTCTGGGGAAACAAAACATGCACTGATAGTAGCAGCTATCACCCTAATGGACTAGAACAGGGGTCCTCAAACTTTTTAAACGGGGCCAGTTTACTGTCCCTCAGACCGTTGGAGGGCCGGGCTATAGTTTAAAAAGAAACCTATGAACAAATGCGGACATAGTACAGGAGATGACCAGAGACTGCGGACATAGTACAGGAGATGACCAGAGACTGCGGACATAGTACAGGAGATGACCAGAGACTGCGGACATAGTACAGGAGATGACCAGAGACTGCGGACATAGTACATGAGATGACCAGAGACTGCGGCGGACATGAGATGACCAGAGATAGTACATGAGATGACCAGAGACTTCGGACATAGTACATGAGATGACCAGAGACTTCGGACATAGTACATGAGATGACCAGAGACTGGAGACATACAGTTGTGTCCAAAATTATTCAACCCCCACTGAAATTGAGTGTTTTGGCCAGTTTGACATTGCTTTTGATCATTCAGTCATCTTGCTTACATTTACATTAAAGAGGCACTTGTAGGTCAGACAAATATAACATAACAGTTATAATGAAATAACCACAAATGTCTTTTCTGTGCTCACAGCATTATCAGTTTTATTCAACCCCCAAGTGACATTCAATCTTAGTACTTAGTACAGCATCCTTTTACAGTTATAAACAGCTTTTAAAACGTGAAGCATAGCTTGACACAAGTGTCTTGCAGCGATCTACGGGTATCTTCGCCCATTCTTCATGGGCAAAGGCCCCTCCAGTTCAGTCACATTCTTAGGCTTGCGCACTGCAACTGCTTTCTTTAAGTCCCACCAGAGGTTCTCAATCGGATTTAAGTCTGGTGACTGCGATGGCCACTCCAAAATGTTCCAGCCTTTCCTCTGCAACCATGCTCTAGTGGACTTGGAGGTATGCTTGGGATCATTGTCCTGTTGAAAGGTCCAACGTCTCCCAAGCCTCAGGTGTGTGACGGACTGCATCACGTTTCCATCCAATATCTCCTGGTACTGAAAGAGAATTCATGGTACCTTGCACACGCTGAAGCTTCCCTGTACCTGCAGAAGCAAAACAGCCCCAAAGCATGATTGACCCTCCACCATGCTTCACAGTAGGCAAGGTGTTCTTTTCATCATAGGCCTTGTTCTTCCTCCTCCAAACATAGCGTTGATCCATGGGGGCCCAAACAGTTCTAATTTTGTTTCATCAGTCCACAGAACACTATCCCCACAACTTTTGTGGTTTGTCCACATGGCTTTTGGCATACTGCAGTCGACTCTTCTTATTCTTTGGAGACAGCAAGGGGGTACGCCTGGGAGTTCTGGCACGGAGGCCTTCATTACGCAGTGTGCGTCTTATTGTCTGGGCTGAAACTTCTGTACCCACATCTGACAAATCTTTTCTCAGTTCCTCAGCAGTCACACGGGGACTTCTCTCCACTCTACGCTTCAGGTAGCGCACAGCAGTCGAAGTCAGCATCTTCTTTCTGCCACGACCAGGTAGCGTTTCAACAGTGCCCTTTGCCTTGAATTTGCGAATGATGCTTCCTAAGGTGTCTCTTGGTATGTTTAACATCTTTGCAATCTTCTTATAGCCATTGCCCTTCCTGTGAAGAGAAATCACCTCTTCTCTTGTCTTCCTGGACCATTCTCTTGCCTTCACCATGTTTGTAACCACACCAGTAAATGTCTAGAAGGAGCTGAGTATCACAGTCATTTTAAAGCTGCCTAATTGGTGCTTATTATGCTTGATTGCTGCTCTCGGTGACATCCACAGGTGTTTTCAATACCTGATGGAAAGCACCTGTATGAACCTCTGTTCTTCAGAGTGGTAGTCTTTAAGGGGTTGAATAATTGTGGCAATGAAGAAACCACATAAGAACCATTTACTACTGTATTACATAAACAATTGATGTCATTTTAGTTGCATTTGGGTAGTTACAACGTCCTTGTAGGATTTGATTCTGAATACAATTCCAAATGTACACTATAGTCCCTAAACCCCTTTACAGCATTGGGGGTTGAATAATTTTGGACACAACTGTAGTACAAGAGATGACCAGAGACTGCGGACATAGTGCCCCATCATTAGTGTCAGTGTGTGAGGAATAGTGCCCCATCATTGGTGTCAGTGGGAGGAATCATGCCCCATCATTGGTGTCAGTGGGAGGAATCGTGCCCCATCATTGGTGTCGGGGAGAAATCGTGCCCCATCATTGCTATCAGTGGGATGAAGTTCCCCATCATTGGTGTCAGCGGGAGGAATCGTGCCCCATCATTGGTGTCAGCGGGTGGAATCGTGCCCCATCATTGGTGTCAGCGGGAGGAATCGTGACCCATCATTGGTGTCAGCGGGAGGAATCGTGACCCATCATTGGTGTCAGCGGGTGCAATCGTGCCCCATCATTGGTGTCAGCGGGAGGAATCGTGCCCCATCATTGGTATCAGGGGGAGGAGTAGTGCCCCATCATTGGTATCAGTCGGAGGAAGTGCCCCATCATTGGTATCGGTCGGAGGAAGTGCCCCATCATTAGTGTCGGTGGGAGGAATAGTACCCCATCATTGGTGTCGGTGGGAGGAATAGTGCCCCATCTTTGGTATCAGTGGGAGGAAGTGCCCCATCATTGGTATCAGAGGGAGGAATAGTGTCCCATAATTGGTGTCAGTGGGAGGAATAGTGCCCCCTCATTGGTGTCAGTGGGAGGAAAAAGTGCCCCCTCATTGGTGTCAGTGACACCAATGAGGGGGCACTATTCCTCCCACACTGACACTAATGATGGGGCACTATTACTCCCACTGACACCAATTATACTTACATCGCCGTGCCACCCCCTGAAAAGTGCCACCCTAGGCAAATGCCTTGTTTGCCTCCTGGCAAATACACCCCTGGGACAAGTGAGGGGCAGAGGGACAGGAGGAGCGCAGTGGGACAAGTGAGGGGCAGTGGGTCAGGGGGTAGGGTACAGTATCGGGGCAGCTGGACAGGAGGAGCACAGAGAGACAGGGGAGGGCAGATGGACAGGAGGAGCGCAGAGGGACAGGGGAGGGGCAGTTGGACAGGAGGAGCGCAGAGGGGCAAATGGACAGGAGGAGCACAGAGGGATGGGGGGCAGTGGGGACAGATGGGTGGTAGTGGGACAATGTGGGGGACAGGAGGGGGAAGTGGGGCAGGGGGCAGTGTGATGGATGGGGGGCAGTGGGACGGGGGAGGGAAGTAGAACAGGTGGGGAGCAGTGTATTAGGGGACAGTGAGACAGGACCGAGGGAGCACCAGTCCTCCAAGCACTTACCTGTCCAGCAGCGGCTCCTCCAGATGGTGTCAGGATCATTCCAGGACGGGTGCCTGTGTCCCTTCTCCCCATCGATCTCCGGCGGCGGCTGCAAAGGAGCGGGCCGACTCCGCCCCCTGACCTCGTCCTCTTCTGCTTCCTTCTTCTGGTCTTCACCTGGATACTGGCACACTGACAGCAGGCCCTGCCCCCCACGCGCACTTCGGGGATCTGCCCACCACTCCGCTCTCCTGTGCAGCTGCTCCCTCAGCCATGGCGGCCCTGCCCCTTTATCTTTCCCACGGAAGTGCCCTTCTGTGGGAAAAGGGGGGGCGGCAAATACGCCCCTGGTCGCTTGCCTCACGGCAGATACGCCCCTGCCAGGCGGCCGGATAAATGTCCTCAGCGGGCCGCATGTGGCCCGCAGGCCGTAGTTTGAGGACCCCTGGATTAGAAGCTAAACCGATTTCCAGAAGGCTTCAGGGCATTGTGCTCCAGCCATCAACTCCTGCCTGAAGCAATGTCTGAACATGAGGAGGGCTGCTCTGAAAAAAAACGTGTACAAATAGTAGTAGCAATCATCCTAATGGACTAGAAGATAAGTCAATTTCCAGAAGACTTCAGGGTCATTTGCTGCGTGGCCTATAACCATATTTGGACACTCCTAGGAAAATAACACCCAGTCCTCGGCTAAGCAGCGCCACCCTCACCCTAAATGAGGCTAGCAGGGTTAATGGCTCCCCACTTACCCATACCTCATTTACAGATGGGAGTAGAGTAAACCAAAAGGAAGAAACTAACACCCATGCTTAGGCTGGGTCTACAAATTTCCAAAGGAAAGACGCCAACACCTATGTTAAGGCTGGGTCAGTGGGTGGTTTTCAGAGCAGAACCACTACTTTTGAGGAAGATGACTTCGGGACATTGGTAGGAGAAATTCATGTTCCTATATTTTATGCTTGTTTGTTTTATGCTTTTTTATCTTTGTTGCTCACATTCTTTTTCCTAACATACAGACTAATTGAACACTGCAGAAAAATGTAAAGAGTACAAATGGACATATAAAATGGACTGAATGATACAGACTTCTGAAGCTTCTGCTTTCCTTTGAGATCCTTTGCCTGGTGGTGAGCATAAACATTCTTAAAGTGAGGATGAATAGAGACTGCTATGAGCCGATGGCCACAGTATCACTGATTATCTTTTGCAGCCCAATAATGGAGTCCTTATAGCAGCCTGCTCTGCTGACCACTGTGTTAGATATCATAACTGAGAAACCTGGATCTTCCCTTTATGCTCCAACCATCAACTCCTGCCTGGAGCAATGTCTGAACAAAAAGAGGGCCGCTCTGGAAAAAAACATGCACAAATATTAGCAGCTATTGCCCTAATGGACTAGAAGCCAAGCGATTTCCAAAAGGCTTTAGGGCCAATTGTTCCAGCCTTCAACTCCTATCTGAAGCAATGTCTGAACATGAAGAGGACCACTCTCAAAAAAAATGCATAAATTGTAGTGGCTATGAACCTAATGGTTTAGAAGACATGCTGATTTCCAAAAGGCTTTAGGTCTGTCTGCTCCAGCCTTCAACTCCTATCTGAAGCAATGTCTGAACATGAAGAAGGCTCCTCTGGGGAAGCTATCACCCTAATAGACTAGAAGCTAAACCGATTTCCAGAAGGCGTCAGGGCCTTTTGCTCCAGCCATCAACTCCTGCCTGAAGCAATGTCTGAACATGAAGAGGGCTGCTCTGAAAAAAAAGTGTACAAATAGTAGTAGCTATCATCCTAATGGACTAGAAAACAAGCCGATTTCCAGATGACAATACCTACACTATATTGCTGAAAGTAATGGGAAACCCCTCCAAATCATTGGATTCAGGTGTTCCAATCACCTCCATGGCCACAAGTGTATAAAATCAAGCACTTAGGCATGCTGACTGCTTCTACAAACATTTGTGACAGAATGGGTCACTCTCAGGAGCTCAGTGAATTCAAGTGTGGTACTATGATAGGTTGCAACCTGTGCAATAAGTTCATCTGTGAAATTTCCTTGCTACTAAATATTCCACGGTCAACTGTTAGTGGTATTATAACAAAGTGGAAATAACTGGGAACAGCAGCAACCCAGCCACGAAGTGGTAGGCCACGTAAAATGACAGAGTGGGGGAAGCACATGCTGAAGTGCACAGAAGTTGCCAACTGTCTGCAGAGTCAATAGCTAAAGATCTCCAAACTTCGTGTGGCCTTCAGATTAGCACAACAGTGTGTAGAGAGCTTCATGGAATGGCAAATCATGCTTCTCTGGCAATCCGATGGACGTGTCTGGGTATGGCGGTTGCCAGGAGAACCATACTTGCCTGACTGCATTGTGCCAAGTGTAAAGTTTGGTGGAGGGGAGATTGTTGTGTGGGGTTGGGCTTGGCCCCTTAGTTCCAGTGAAGGGAACTCTTAAGGCATCAGCATACCAAGACATTTTTGACAATTTCAAGCCACCAACTGTGTGGGAACAGTTTGGGAATGGCCCCTTCCTGTTCCAACATGACTGTGCACCAGTGCACAAAGCAAGGTCCGTAAAGCCATGGATGAGTGAGTTTGGGGTGGAGGAACTTGATTGGCCTGCTTAGAGTCCTGACCTCAAGTCGATAGAAGACCTTTGGGATGAATTAGAGCGGAGACTGCGAGCCAGTTCTCGTCCGACATCAGTGCCTGACCTCACAAATGCGATTCTGGAAGAATGGTCAAACATTCCCATAGACACACTCCTAAACCTTGTGGACAGCCTTCCCAGATGAGTTGAAACTGTTTTATAGCTGCAAAAGGTGGGCCAACTCAATATTGAACCCTACGGACTAAGACTGGGATGCCATTAAAGTTCATGTGTGTGTAAAGGCAGGCATCCCAGTACTTTTAAGTTTCAGTGGGTGGTTTTTAGAGCAGAACCACTACTTTTGAGGAAGATGACTTCGGCACATTGGTAAGAGAAATTCATGTTATGGTTATATTTTATGCTTGTTTGTTTTAGTGTATTGTTTTATGCTTTTTTATATTTGTTGCTCACATTTTTTTTCCTCACATAAAGATTAATTGATCACCGCAGATAAATTTGAAACGTGCAAATGGTCATGTTAAATGGACTGAATGATACAAACCTCTCTGAAGCTTCTGCTTTCTTTTGAGATCCTTTGCCTGGAGGTGAGCATACAAACATTCTTCAAGTGAGGATGAATAGAGACTGCTATGAGTCGATCGCCACAGTATCACTGATTATCTCTTGCAGCCCAAGAAGAGTCCTTATAGCAGCCTGCTCTGCTGACCACTATGACAGATGTCACAACTGAGAAACCTGGATCTTCCCATTATGCTCCAACCATAAACTCCTGCCTGGAGCAATGTCTGAACATGAAGATGGCCACTCTGAAAAATGCTATACAGATAGTAGTGCCTATCACCCTAATAGACCAGAATCTAAGACAATTTCCTAAAGACTTCAGGGTCATGAGTATTGCTGTGACCAGCAGCTCAGCTACCCTAAATGAGGCTAGCAGGGCTCATAGCTCCACACTCGCCCATACCTCATCTCAGGAATGTGAGTATGGAAATATAAAGCAAAAGAAATCTATACCCATGCTTAAGGCTGGGTCCACCAAATTCCAAAAGGAAGACACCAATATCCATGCTGAGGCTGGGTCAAGAGCAGAATCAATACTGTAGATGAAGATGAATCAAGTACACTAGTAAAGGGAACTAATGTTGCAGTATGTTTTTTGCTTGTTTTAGTGTATAGTTCTTATTCATTTTTATTTTTGTTGCTCACTGTCTTGTTCCTTACATACAGAAAGATCACTTGCACACTGCAGATAAAATTGAAGAGTGCACATGATCACATAAAATAGACCAGATGATCCAAACCTATATGGAGTACCCGCTTTTCTTTGAGATTCTATGCCTGGTGAATCCTGAATATAAGCCCCGTTCACGTGAAGATGAAGAAAGACTGCAATGGGTTGTGGCGGCAGTGTTACTAATTGTTACTGGTAGACTCAGTGGGGTTTATTTACAAAGCTGAGAGTAGTGCAAAATCAGACTCACTTCTGCATTAGAAACCAGCATCAGCTTCCAGGTTTCATTGCCAAGGGCTTCATTGAACAAGCTGAGGTTAGAAGCTAAATGGGTTTCTATGCAGAAGGGAGTCTGATTTTGGACTCTCCAGCTTTAGTAAATCAAACCCCAGTGAGTCTAATAATGGAACCCATTTAGCACAGTGCCTGGAGATCTGTTCTGCAGCCCTGCTATCCACTATGATGCTGGATCTTCCCTTAATGCTCCAACTGTCAATTCCTACCATGGATGTCCATGTGGATGACTGCCCTGCTCTACCTAGGTGAAGAAATGGTAGGAAAGATAGATGCTGTGATTTCTTTCTGTAGCCAGGGTCAAAACTATTGTCAGTATAACAACTGGTACCATAAATGATGTACCGTATTTTTTGCTCCATAAGATGCACTTTTTTCCCCCCAAAAAAGGGGGGAAAATGTCAGTGCGTCTTATGGAGCGAATATAAAGCGGCCGGTCTGGTATTTCTGCCGCCACCATGTCAGAATACCGGGCCAGCCGCTCAGCTGTTCTCTCCTGCAGGGCCTTACCTGTTCCTCGCTCCAGCGCTGCACAGTCTTCCCGCGCTGGCTTCTGTGACAGCCGGGTGCCCACTGCGCATGTGCTGCGCTTTGTGAATGATCCGTTGTCTTCTGGGACACATGACAGGTCCCAGAAGGCGCCGGGCCATTCACAAAGCGCAGCGCTTCTCGCGCATGCGCAGTGGGCACCCGGCTGTCACAGAAGCCAGCCCGGGAAGGACAGCTCCGCGGAAGTGGGAGCGGGCACCTGTCAAATTCAGGTACCCGCTCCCCCTCCCTCCCCAAAGGTCGGTAGTCTCTGGTCATTCCCTGCACTGTCTGCAGTCTCTGGTCATTCCCTGCACTGTCTGCAGTCTCTGGTCATTCCCTGCACTGTCTGCAGTCTCTGGTCATTCCCTGCACTGTCTGCAGTCTCTGGTCATCCCCTGCACTGTCTGCAGTCTCTGGTCATCCCCTGCACTGTCTGCAGTCTCTGGTCATCCCTGCACTGTCTGCAGTCTCTGGTCATCCCCTGTACTGTCTGCAGTCTCTGGTCATCCCCTGTACTGTGTCCGCAGTCTCTGGTCATCCCCTGTACTGTGTCTGCAGTCTCTGGTCATCCCCTGTACTGTGTCCGCAGTCTCTGGTCATCTCCTGTACTGTGTCCGCAGTCCTGGTCATCCCCTGTACTGTGTCCGCAGTCTCTGGTCATCCCCTGTACTGTGTCCGCAGTCCCTGGTCATCCCCTGTACTGTGTCCGCAGTCTCTGGTCATCTCCTGTACTGTGTCCGCAGTCCTGGTCATCTCCTGTACTGTGTCCGCAGTCCCTGGTCATCCCCTGTACTGTGTCCGCAGTCCCTGGTCATCCCCTGTACTGTGTCCGCAGTCCCTGGTCATCCCCTGTACTGTGTCCGCAGTCCCTGGTCATCCCCTGTACTGTGTCCGCAGTCCCTGGTCATCCCCTGTACTGTATCCGCAGTCCCTGGTCATCCCCTGTACTGTGTCCGCAGTCCCTGGTCATCCCCTGTACTGTGTCCGCAGTCTCTGGTCATCCCTGTACTGTGTGTCTGCAGTCCATTGGTTCAGAATATTTTTTTTTCTTGTTTTTCGCCTCTAAAACCTAGGTGAGTCTTATGGTCAGGTGCGTCTTATGGAGCGAAAAATACGGTAATTATATATCTGAGATGAGGGAGAGTTGGGTACTTTAAATCACTAGGGCTAGACAGGCTGGGTACATGTACTTTACCTGAAAGTGCACTTATTTAAATGTGGTACACTGTGCAATGTTATGAGCTATCATAGCTTAGGAAGCCCAGCAAAAGGCAGTGCCCATCTAAAAAATATATTCAGTGTTTCTATACACATAGACTATGAAATAAATTTCATTTAAAAGGAGATTACAGTTTACTACAGTTTTAAATATTCCTAAATTGATATAAAATGAATTACACATCACTGACCCATGTGTATCTTTGAAATTAATTTTAGCAAAGTAGTAGAGAAGGTTTAGTTGAATAAAGGCATGATACCTTTGAACAACCAAATGCGCATGGAAGCATACCTATGGCTGTACCAATCTGACCAATTTCACCTTTATTTTTTCATCATCTTTACTTTTTCACCTTTTTTTCACTTTTATCTGGCAGAATGAAAATGTGCCAAGTTACTATCTGTTACTGATTTTGTGAGAATTTACAGATATGTATATGATATATATTTTCGTAAATACCTCTTGGCAAGCACTGGGAGGCCGACTTTTGAACAGCCATAATCTATGACATAACTAGCTCAAGCTTACCTATCCACCTTTTGGAAGAAGCAGCACAAGCAAATGTAGGTAGTCTTAAAGCTAAACTCTGGGGGGTAGAGAAAGAAGCTGTATTACTTACTCTATTCCCTGTTACAGAAGGCACCAGAGCTGTCCTCTTCTCCCCAAAGCTCCAGGCAGTGGGCAGTCTTGTCATCAACAGGTACAATGCATGGCTATTACCTCATAAGGACTGCCCACAGTACATTTACTGCTGCAGGGCGGCCCCTGTGCGCAAAATCACGTATATATGCATGATTCGCACTCCTGTGGCTTTCGTGGGCCGGGGGGGAGTGTGTGCCTGCCCCGATTTCATCCCTGAGGGATTAATCATCCGATTTAGGCCAGTCACATCTGGCCCAAGTCAGATGATCGATCCCTGTCCTATCCTGTCCTGTGTTGACAGTTACACAGGACAGGAAGTGATGAAATCTTCTCTCTCTGGGCACATTCTGTCCCAGAGAGAGAAGAATCATCATAAACTGTGAGTGACAGCACTACACAATTACAGTTAGAACACTCTAGGACACATTTAACCCCTTTTATCGCCTGTATTAGTGTCGCTGGCAACTTCAGCTAGCGTTAGCTCCCCTCCCCGATAGCATCAGGTTGCCCGTTAGTACACCAGTAATCACATTTAACCCCTTGTTTGCCAGGAACATGCTCACATACCCAATAAACCTCCATTGATAGTATAGTGTCTGAACTGATCAATATCTTTGATCAGATCAGCACTAAACCAGCGTTCACATTAGTATAGTGTCCTCAAAAATGCAGCATTAGCAGGATCAGCCCCGACACCTGCCAGCACCTGTGTTTAGCCCCTGCGCTTACCCCCCCCCCTTTCTCCTCCAGCAAGTGCAGCGTCAGTAGGTCACTGTCACTTGATACATTGCACACAAAACCGTAGTGTTCGCAGAATCAAAAAATAAAAAGAGCGCAGGTGATCAAATACCACTGAAAGAAAGCTCCATTTGTGTGAAAAAAGGACATAAATTTTATTTATGTACAGCATTGCATGACCGCTCAATTGTCAGTTAAACTATGCAGCGCTGTATAGCAAAAAAAGAAGTAAATTGCAGTATCTATACCATAGTTTGTAGACGCTATAACGTTCACACAAAACAATCAATATACACTTGTTGGGATTTTTTTTTTTACGAAAACGTAGCAGAATACATTTTGGCCTAAATTTATGACTAACTTTGAGTTTACTATATATTTTTTATAAACTAAAGTAAAATATTTTTTTTTTTTTTCAAAATTTTCAGTCTTTTTTTTGTTTATAATGCAAAAAAATAAAAAACCGCACAGGTGATCAAATACCACCGAAAGAAAGCTCTATTTGTGTGAAAAAAAGGATGTAAATTTTTTTGGGTACAGCATTGCATGACCACACAATTACCAGTTGAAATAGTACAGCGCCGAATACCAAAAAAAGGCCTGGTCATTAAGGGGCGTAAACCCTCAGGGTGGCAAGTGGTTAACCTAGCATTGTATGTGGAAGGGGTAAGCATGTGCCCGATGCCATAATCCACTTCTTTATTATTTCTATTTTTGTTTGAGCCTGCAGTTCAGCTTTAACCATTCCATACCGGGCAATTTTTACACCTTCCTGCCCAGGCCATTTTTCAGGTTTCAGCGCTCTCACATTTTGGAATAACAATTGCGCGGTCATACAACACTGTACCCAAACTAAAATTTTATCATTTTCTTCACACAACTAGAGCTTCCTTTTGGTGGTATTTAATCATCGCCAGGGTTTTTATTTTTTGCTAAATTAACAAAAAAAGACCAAAAATTGTGGGAAAAAAACAAGTTTTTCTTTGTTTCTGTTATAAAAGTTTGCAAATAAATAATTGTTCTTCATAAATTTAGGCCAAGATGTATTCTGCTACATGTCTTTGGTGAAAATAACCCAAATTAGGATGTATTTTTTAGTTTGTAGGAAAGTTATAGAGTTCACAAACTATGGTATAGATCTGAATATTGATCAATCCTGAAGTACTGACAGCCAATCTAATTACTTGAGGTCCAAGAATGTCAGAATAGTACAGATATCCCCCAAATGACCCCTTTTTGCAGAGTAGACAGTCTGACGTACTTCATAAGAGGCATGGCGAGTTTTTTGAAGTTGTATTTTTTTTGTCATAATTCTTCGGAAAATAAAAAAAATTATTTTCACAATTTTTTTTTACATACTCTCACCAGTGCAGTACAGCGTCATCATATAACTGGCATGGCGGTGATCAGGGACACTGATTGGTGACAGTGTGAAAAAAATATATATATTTTTTATTTTATTTTTATTACATTTTTTTTCTTTTTTTAAGATTTTTTTTTCATATTTCACTATGTCCAAAGTAGTACAATGTTACCATAGTAACATTGTACTATGTTGGGGAAGTGATCAGTATTTTTTTTTTTATTTATTTATTTATTTTTTTACACAATTTGCTTATAGCAAATAATTACTTTGCAAGCATTTAACTGAATGACATCGATTCATTCAGGTTTTTTTTTTTTTTTTTGTGCTTAGCTGTGATTTGGCCACAGCTAATCACATGACGTGCATGTGATTAGCTGTGAACATTCACAGCTAGACACTAGTATACAATAGATGGCATGAATGAAGCCATCCATTGTATACAACTGTCATGTGACCTGTCTGTGATTGGTCACAGCAGGTCACATGGTACCGGCAACGGGGCCGATACTCAGATCTGTCATCGGCCGTGTCCGAGGTACACGGCCGGTGACAGATCGCGCCGCTGTGCGGCTCTGCAAGTACGCGAACTGCGCATGTGCGGGAGGACGCCAAATGGCGGCCTCCCGGAAAGCTAGTGCATTTTTTCCGGACGCCATATGGCTATTGGCCGGGCGTCAAATGGAAAGTATATATAAACACTAACAAACCTCATATTTGCCCCCTTTTGGTCTGTTGAAGCAACTCTGCTACCATACCAGCATATTTCAAGCAAGCCATGCCTATAAAAGAAGACAGTAAATACTCACTTTTCATGCTGCCTCTGCCTTTAAAATATTTTGTATACCAACTTTAAATATACTATTGGAATATTCTTGTGCTGTCCTGTCCTTTGCATTCTGCACTGTTATCTTAAACAATGTTATCAGGAAGTGGGTTAAGGACTACAGGACACCTTCCCTGAGTTATGAATAAGAAAAAAGGAAGAGGTGTACTGTAGCACTAACAAACATCTAATGCTAGGGTGATAACAGTGCTCCTCTGTAGACACATAATAGTGAGAGGACATTGTTATCCTAGCACTCACAAGGCAAAAATAAAGGGAAAGAAGAAGAAAAAGTAGAAAACCAATTAAACCATCAAATCTAAAGACTGTTGTATGTATTACGTATGTTGAATGTAAAGTAGAAACTCTGTAATTTTAGATTGTTTTATTAAAATATTCTAAATCGAAATAAATGTTAATAAATATGTATAAATGTACAAATGTGTGACAGATGTTACAATGTCTAATAATTTCTTAATGCAAGAGCAGAATTGCACACAGGATCATCTGCAATACCATAACTTGGGGTCCAGTAATAATGCTTTTTGAGTCCATGAAAAAGTTCAGCAAGATAGACACGCCCGTCTACTACATATGGCTTTACATCAGTGGAGGAGTTGCTCAGGCGTCCAGTGGAAAGTAGATTTGAAAATGCCTCAAATGGTAGAAGAAAAAAAAGTCAGTTTTTTATTTACCATAAACTAATTAAATAGAATAAGTGACATTTAGACCACATTTTGTTTTGCACTATACTTTGCACAAAATCACTACTTGTAGCTGTATAAGAGTTGCCTGCTCCATGGGCTTAAATCAGACAGTAAGATGTATGAGGGCTATAGCTGTTTCCATTTCCCCCTCATGTGTAAGATATGGTTTGCTGCCATCATGTTAACCTCCCTAGCAGTCTGATTATGTCCATATTTCTGTGCTCAAAGCGGTAAATTTTTTTGCATGGAAATATGTATTTTTTTTATTGTATGCCTGTAATTTTTAGGAATAACTCACTGAAATCTGTCCAAACAAGAGTCTAGTAAACATTCTGGGTATGCTAAAATTTGAAATGCGAAATCATAAATTATAATTTAATAAATCATAGAAAATAATAATATAATAATAAATTTAATTCAATAATATAATCAAACCAAAAAAACACTGAAATTTGAAATATAGCGCCAAGTTCGCACATCACTGAGCAAAGTCGCAAAATCGTTTTCAGTGTCTGATGACGAATTTCCCCACGAATCATCACTCAATTCTGCAAGTAGTTCTAATTTACTATCGCTGTTCTCTAGCTGGTTTAAAACCGATTTTGACCTAAAGGGACACTTTTTGGACGCCATGGACGTTTCTCAGTTTCCAGGCAGAAAGAACAGTAAAAATGTAGGCAGGGCACAGGACAAAGCACTAGGGACAAAATGTATGTGAAATGGTTGGATACAGTAATGTATTACTATGTTATTTTAGTGAATGTCACTTTTTGTCATTTTCAAATTTCCCGCCGTTCCGTCCCCGTACGTCCCGACGCCGAAGGGGACGGAACCCAGAAGACAAATGCTGGCATCCGCCGGAGGACATTACAGGGGACACTGCAGGAGGGACATCGCGGGAGCGCAGGACAAGGTAAGAGAAGAACAGATCCCGGAGCAGCACCGCATGGTAAGCCCGAGTGTAGCTCGGGGTTACCACTTGTGGTACTGAAACTTTACCCCGAGCTACACTCGGGAATACTGCCAGGGAGGCTACGTAATAATTAGGTTGTGATCTTAGTGGGATTGATTACTAAAGGCATATAGGCTGCTTACTTTGAAAAGGCATCGTCCCTTAGCTTAGTGAATATGATGAAAATTCACTTTGCAAAGAATGCCCAATCACATGCAAGAAAAAAAGAAAACATGATTGGATGATGAACGTCAGCAGAGCTTCACCTCGTTCTCTAAGCTAAGAGAAAATTCCCTTGTAAACAGCCTATTTACCTTTATTAAATCAGCCCCAGTGAGTTAGCTCAACCACAGTGAGTTCACTCTCCTGTACAACACACTTGTCTGTGATAGATGTATTGCACTGAGTTGATATTGGAGCATTAGAGAAGAGGGCATTAGAGAAGAGGAAGGGATACATAGAGGAGCATTAGAGAAGAGAAGTGGGAAGTAGAGGAGCATTAGAGAAGAGGAAGTGGGATACATGGAGGAGCATACATAGAGGAGCATTAGAGAAGAGGAAGTGGGATACATAGAGGTAGATGGGTGTCAAGTGATGGAGAAAGTTGGTGCTGTTTTATTTCTTTTCCTTAAATGTGATCTCTTAGATCAGCTACATTCATCCAGTCAATGCTCCTGCCTGTAGGAACAGTTACAGGCTCAGGTGTAATGCCAACCTTAGGAGGCCTACCAACCTCTACCCTTCCCAACGTCAATACAGCACATTTATTACATAATTCCTGAGCAGCTTTTCTGCTTCCTTCCAACTTTTGTGTCGCTCATTTGCCCTTTAAAAACTGAAAGGTTTTGCAAGTATGGTCATCTTTGGCTGTAGTATCTTACTGAAAAATTCATGTTGCACTGGGGTGCAGAATATGTTGATGATTAATGAAGTGTGATGATGATGCTCCCTATATAAATCAATGAGCGTTGTGTCGTCCAATCATTTCCACCTAATGAAGCCACTTCACCTGGTTCCGTAACGTGTAGGGGAGGGGCTCTGACATCACAGCGTTTAAGGAAACACACGCAGCAAGTATACTGCAGTTTTAAAAACACACTGTGGATTCAAATTTTCAACATTTTAAAGCGATTTTAACATGTATTTCATGTGAGTGCACTACTTTATTTATTAAATGTTTTAAAAAGAAGATAAGGCACTATATTCTTTATGGCACTTATACCTATGGAGGAAAAACTCTAAGGAAGTAAGGAGACCCCTACTGAGAAGAGGAATAATTCCATCCATCCTCCTCCCAAGTCCAATTAAAGGGAAACAAGCTCTATATGACCTCACTCAACGGTTTGGTCATATACACCAGGTGAGAGCACAGCCGGTGAAGGTGTACACATTATTTATGATTGGTGGATTGCACAGAAAATATTTTATCACATCATTAGAAGAAATGTCAAAGTCACAGATTGATTAAGGACTCTTATGTGGCACAAGTGTGATTGCATGCAATATCACATTTAATTTTTAGACTTTTCAACTTAATTTTATTTCACTTTATTTCATTTCACTTTATTCAGTATTTTTTCACTCATGATTGCATTATCAGTGGATTGCGACACTGTTTATGTTTTTTTGGATGATGATTAATAAAATATAAAAACATCACTGGACTTTTGTGATTTTGTTTTTGACACTGTTATACAATACAAAAGGAACTCCTAAAATGGTATTGGTACAACAGTGTGCAAGTTCTGTAGTGCACTCATTTACCAGTATATTAGATCAGAAGTCAGCAGTCGATCCCAGTTCTACACTTGTGTACATGCTGTCAAACTAGAAGTTTTTGGAATATGAACGAAACGGTTATTTTAGTCAAGTCACCAATTGACATTTGAAACCCATCTGCAGGAAACCTAAAAACTCTCTCTTGTAGCAGGGCTGCACCCTCACTGCAAGCATTAACTTACCAGATTGTCCCCTCCCCTGGTAGACAGGAGAGGACTGGACTGTGCTGGCAGTAGACTGTTCCTCAGCATCCTTACATCCAGTGCTGGGCTATAATCACCACCATTGGTCTTGATGACATCAGCGGACCTTAGACACTAGAGTATATGGGCGAAGAGGATCTCAGGAGCGGTCTTGCAGCACAAAGGAGCCAGCAGGAGCAGAGGATCAGATAAGCAAAATTGCTTTACCAAGTCCCCTAGAAATAAGTGGCCAGTTAAACCTTGCAGTGTCAGTGCAGCCCCCATGAAAAAGAGCATTGTTAGGTTTCCTGTAGTTCAGCTTTAAATTAATTAATCAAAGTTAAAATGGCTTTAGAAAGAATAAGAAAGAGAATAGAAAAAAATATGTACAGTGTGTATAAATATATGTGTATGTATGTGTGAAAAATATTTTAACCACTTGCCCTCCAGAGGACTTACCCCCCTTCCTGACTAGGCCATTTTTGCCATGTAGCTCTGCGTTACTTTAACTGAAAATTGCGCGGTCATGCAACGCTGCACCCAAATTAAATTAACGTCCTTTTTTTTCACACAAATAGAGCTTTCTTTTGGTGGTATTTGATGACTTGTGCGTTTTTATTTTTTGCTTTATAAACCATAAACGACCGACAAATTTGAGAAAAAAACAATATTTTTGACTTTTTCCTATTAAACATGTCCTGTAAAAAATCAAATTTCATCAAAAATTTAGACCAAAATATATTCTGCTACATGTATTTGCTAAAAAAAAAAAAAATATGTGTAAATTAATTGGTTTACTTGAAAGTTATAGCATCTACAAATGGCGGTATAGATACTGGATTTTTTTCTTTTTTACTAGTAATGGTGGTGATCAGCGGCTTATAGCGGGACTGCGGCAGGCATTCTGACACTGGGGGGAACTGAATTGGTGTTGCTGACATCCCCAGTGACACCAATTCAGTGATAATAAAAAGCACTGACACAGTACTAAGGGCACTGGGCAGGAAGGGGTTAATGTGTGAGGTGATCAAAGGGTTAACTGTGTGCTGTTCTACTATGTGTGCTGTGTGTGTGTTTCACTGTAGGCACACGGCAATGCAGAGCCATATAAAGCAGTGTGCAGGAGTTGACAGGGAAGAGGTCTGTGTTTATACACAGTTCTCTCCCCCATCAGTAATACTTGGCGACCACCGAGTATATATATGATTTTGTGCACCCATGCCATCCTGTAGCAGTATTTATGCTATATGGTGGCACGGAAGCAGTTAAATAACCATGATAGATCAGTATGCATTTGTATACAACAATATCTAAAGCCAAATGTTTTTATTTAGGAACAATATAAATAGTTTAGAAGCCCTGTGAGCATTTAACTAAAATCTGCATTCCTGTTTGGGCAATTCAATTAGGTTTACTACAGGCAAAAAGACTACTTTGTAAGGGAAGTTGCACTTTGCATCAGAATTTCCCCGGAGTTTAGGGAATGTGTTGGAATTTCACTTTGCAAAGAATACCTAATTATGTGCGAGGAAAGAAAAAAAATGCAATTTTGCTTGCACATGATAGGATGATGGAGGTCAGCAGAGAACCACCTCATTTACTAAAGTGGCTCAAGGTTTTTTACCTTCATGCAGTCTATGCATGAAGGTAAAAAAAAATCTCTGTGCAGCAACTCCCACAGCCCTCCCTAATACTCACCTATGCCCCCTCTCGATGCAGCGATGTGCAATGGAGTCTTGGCTATCCCAGGACTCCTTCTCTTTATTGGCTGAGACAGAAGCGGGAGTGATTGGCTCTCACTGCTGTCAATCACAGCCAGGGAGCCAATGAGAAAAGAGAGGGGGTGGGTCTGAGCCGCAGCCTCATGTGTGAATGGATGCATGGAGCAGTGGGTGCCCCCATAGCAAGCTGCTTGCTGTGGGGGCACTCGACAGGAGGGAGGGGCCAGGAGCACTATAGGGGGATTCAAGAAGAGGAGGATCCAGGCTGTGCAAAATCACTTCACACAACAGGTAAATATAGACATGTTTGTTATTTAAAAAAAAATAAGCCTTTAGAATCACTTTAAGCTCTGGGGATAATTCCCATGCAAAGTGAACATTCTATTTGACTTTAGTGAATTGACCCAGTTATCCCTATTTGTCCTGATGACCATTGTCACCTGGAGTAAAAGTGTTGGAAAATCCAAAATTTTACGTTGTCATTGAAACAGGAATAGAAGGGAAAGCTTCCAACGGGGACACCTCTTCTGGTGACAGCTAAGAGAAAATGTCCTTAACTCTGGAGAGCTCTCCTCTCTCTTCCTGTTATATATTTTTTTTACATTTAACTTGTAAAGTCATAGCGCACCCAATTCCTTCAGGGTCAAAATTGCTCCAAATTGCTACTGCTGCAAGGTGAAATGGAACTTGTTTCTAGGCATACTTGATATTTATTTTATGTATGTTTATATATGTACCATAAATAACAAAGCACATACCACACAGGCAGATTCATCCAGCACATTTCCCCATATGTAAATGTATTCTAAACTTGTGTTTGCTTGGATTGCAGCCGCCAGAATCTTTAGGCCTTGCCCAGTAATATTGTTGCTCACAACTGCCAATCTAAAAAGAACAATAAAAGAAACAATATAGCCATGGTAATATGAAAAAGAATGAAGCATTTTAAATAGTATCATTTATAGTCTTATTGCATTAAAGTGATATTAAAAGAGAAGAGCAGGATTTGAAAAAAATAAATAACCATACTCCCCTATGTGCTCTGAACACAGAGCAGTGACTGTCAGCCGCCGACTCTCTGCTCTGCCCCTCCTGGAGCACTGGGCTGTGGAGAGGGTGGGAGCGGCTGGCTCAGGCTCCTAGTGGCTTGCTAAGAGGCTGAGCCAGCTGCTCATCCAGGCATCTGGGCAGATCCCGACATTTTTGTTGGGATCCCTGCAGAGCCTGGACTGACTCTGTGAAATCATTGTAGGTGAGGTGTGCACTTCTGGGACCTAGAGAAGAAGTATGGCCAAAAAAGTATATTTATTTATTTATTTATTTATTTTGTTCCAATGCTTAAGTGATGACTTACTATGGATGTTGCTTTTTTATATAGAGTTGTTTTATCCTCCCCACTTTCCTGTTACATGATTTCTCCTTTCCCTTGCAGGGATCACAATGGCTGCACTGTCAGGCTCAGGCATCCAAAAAGGACATACAAGCAAAGATACACTCTCCGCTCTTCCTCCAGGAGAAGTGACAGAAGAGCATCTTTTGGGTCAGTACCTCTGGAGCCTTTATCAATCACTTCCCTTGAAGGAAGGGAATTGCGTAATCTTGTGTGGGTAGTTCTGGCTACCTGTGTCGGTGCAGGCAGTGTGATTTTGTTAAACAACACAGGGGCGCACTTGTGCGATAGGAAAAGAATGATGGGACATGTAGTCCCAATGAGTTATAAGCATGTGATTGCCAAACAAGACGCTCAGAAAAGATGCGCAAAGAAACCTGCAGGATGCATAGTAAAACACACCAAATAAAGAGTGGTTCTTTTTTTTTGTTTGTTTAAACTAGCCAATATTTTACAATGGCAAACAGCAACTTAGTAATTGTAGTAAGACTAACTGTAGTTGTCAGTATCTTTACCAGTCCATTCAGAGAAGAATAACTGCTGATGTGTTCGTGAGATGCTACGGATACTGCACAGGAAAGAATGCTCTTTGCCTAAAGTACCATTATGGTAAATACAACCCTGAATGTTCGCATTGCTATACTTACGCCTTGAGACCGCTGTTGTATGTATGAATGGTTTCAGCGAGGTGGATGGCACCCTCATCCTCCATCCTGTTTGATGTCAAGTCTAAGATTTCCAATGTGGTATTTGTCTTTAGCAATTCGGCTAAACACTTAACTCCATCGCGGCTGATTTTATTACTAGAGGAATAAATCATAAACATATTTATCAATTAAAAGAAGCCTGCAGTTTGCATACAGTGAAGTGCATTGTCATTTAGCATTGCCATAAATCACACATGAGCTATATATTAGGAATTCTGTGAACTTTAGAGGGTGGTATATGTATATGCAGTGTATCGGCATACAGTATGGCTTAGACTGGTCATACATGCATCAAAATTTGATTGGTTCTCCAAATTCTTGTCAAATTTTGATCCATTTGTAGGCAGACTGGTTGTACAGAGCTCGATCTACTGATTGAGTTCTATACAACCAGCTTGTTGAATTTTCCCCACTTGATCAGCACCACTAGCTATAGCCAGCAGTGCTGATCAGTGTACACTGACAGAAGGAAAGTCTCCCCACTATCAGAATGCAAAGACAGAGCGGGGAGGATTCCGCCATTCTAATCAAAGTGTATGGATGTTGGAATAAACATCAAAAGTTTTTTTTTTTTTTTTTGTAGCTACAATCCAGACCCATCTATGGCCAGACCAAAATACCATACATACTGAGGCTGTATGTTATATTGTAACCTAATGCTCAGTAGTTGGAGAAAAAGGATGTTTGTGTATAGTGCAAGCATTGTAGTGTTGAGTACCAGTGTACTTTCACTGTTAGAGATAAGGGGATTGATTAAAATGCCAGTGATTCATCAAATTAAGCAGCTTTGATCTGTTTTACATGGTGAATTATTTGCAGATCCACCAGCAGGATCTGAACTGCTTCCTGTTCACTTACTCCAGAACTGTAGGTCTCCATCTCCACACTTAAGCTGGCAACACTGTCGACCTGCCCAATATCTCTAGACTGAAAAATGAAAGGAGCCAGGCCTAAAATTATTGGCTCAACAGCACCAGTATCCAATGAGATGAAGGTACTTTTTGCGTATTTTGACAGCTGGTGGGGTCAGCTATCAAAATAAGTAAGCCACAGCGGGAGATTATAGTATGGATGTAAAAATATGTTTGTTTTAAATCTCTATGTATGGCCAGCTTGAAGAGCTAAATTTTAGTGCAAAGCTGATATTGCTGCCCACTATCCTTTTATAGTTGATACAGTGGTTTGCATTTCATAGCCCATTCATAAAATGCAGGCACAGGTGTGGAGACAGCAGTGTCCTATGGAATACTCCCTCCGCTTATGACCGCAGAAAAAATTTCATGATTGGAGGAGAGCTGGTCACTAGTTTGATAGGTCACGTAACCAGCCTCTCCTCCCCTTGTTTTGATTTTATACATTCATTTTAACTACTTGCCCACCTGAGGAATTTCCCCCCCCAGCCCCTTCCTGACCAGGCCATTTTTTTTGCGTTACGGCGCTGTGTTACTTTAACTGACAATTGCGCGGTCATGCAACGCTGCACCCAAATAAAATGTATGTCCTTTTTTTCCCCACGAATTGAGCTTTCTTTCAGTGGTATTTGATCACCTGTGCATTTTTAATTTTTTTTGTGCTATAAAAAAAGGCCAACAAATTTGAGGAAAGAAACCAAAATTTTTGACTTTTTGCTATTAAACATATCTAGTAAAAAAATTTTAAAAATCAGATTTCGTCATAAATTTAGGCCAAAATTTATTCTTCTACATGTCTTTGCTAAAAAATCCCAATACATGTAAATTATTTGGTTTACATGAAAGTTATAGTGTTTACAAATGGCGGTATAGATAATGGAACTTTTTTTTTTTTTACTAGTAATTGTGGCAACCAGTGATTTATAGCGGGACTGCAGCAGACAGTCTGACACTGGAAGGAACTGGCTTGGTGTCAGTGACATCCCCAGTGACTCCAATACAGTGATCAGTGCTAAAAAAAAAAAAAAAAAGCACTGACACTACAAATGGCACTGGGCAGGAAGGGGTTAACAGGAGGGGCGATCAAAGGGTTAACTGTGCGCAAGGAGTGTCATCCAAAGCAGTGTGCCAGAGCTGACAGGGAGGATGCTCGGTAATCACTGGGTGCCAGCGGATAATCACTGTCTGGGACCTGGTGATTGAAAGCCGCGCATGGCGGCGCAGGTAGTGCTTGCGCGATTTTGTGCACCCCTACCACCCTGTAACAGTATATCTGCTATAGAGTGGTGGGAAAGCGGTTAATAAGAATAAGCAGCACTGTATAGTAACAGTAAGTCCATCCTGTTAGTTTTTAAATTGAACCCCCCCCCACTCCCACTTTTTCTTTTTTCAGTTATACAAAAACCTAACATCTTTCTTTGGTTTTTATATCCCTTTCTAACTCTATCCAGTTCACAAGGTGAGGCCTACTCAACACAGTTAAAAAATAATTACATTGAGATGACAGATTTCCAATTATATACAAAACCCATACCAGCTGAGATCAAGATATTTCAGCGCAGTGTTTTTGTGCAAGGCTTCACAGAGTCGCTCAAGTCCAAAATCTGTCATTTCATGTTTAGACAAATGGAGCTCTTGAAGAGTGTTGTTTGTTTTTAGCATCAGCGATATGTGAATGGTTGTGTCTTCCTTAAAGCCAAATAAAGGTAATGGATATGTTAGTGTGCATAAGACTGCATGATGTAACAGTTTTCTGAGCAGAATTTAAAATGTGTTGTATAAAATCACATACCTGTAGCACATAGAACAAAGGACGGTTTAGATTAATAGACTTGATTGAGTTGTTTCTAAGTAGAACAGTGGCCAAGGCTATTAAACTTTGAATTCCCTGTAAGACATACAGCAAATTTATACAAAAAACATAACACATACAACAAAGATATACTAAAATAAATCTAAAATAGCTTTAAATATCAGCATTGCTGTGTGTTATGATCTGAATGACTCCTAAAGCTGAACATACAAGGAAGGATCTGATGGTCCCTAAACAATCAGGCCCACAGGCAGACTGTCATTCCACTGATGTACACACCATATTATAATTGTCCCTTGTTTTCACTTATAAGGTGTAGTGCTAGCTAATCTGCATTCTTCATCATATATTAACATGTTTAACTAGACTTTTCCTGCAAGTGAACAATATAGAAGCAATGTTTGTTTACAGCTATAACATTATCAAAGGGAAAATTAATAGATATACTGTATATCATTGCATTCCATGTTATGCCATAAGTGAAACATTATATTCAAGCAATCATTCCCCAAGCAGTTAAACAAAGTGGCACCTATATAATCGTCTCAATGAGCTGTTTCAGGTGCATTCATTTATCCAAAACAACCCAAAACAAACACAGTAACCCCTGGTTCACATATATACTGCCGTGCGGGCTGTGTTCTACGCGGGCACGAGAGCCCATTCATTTGAATAGACTCCCGTGCCCCGTGAAGCGTAGGGAAGTCCCTGCACATCTGAAAATGCAGCCCACACGGGAACCTCGGTTTCCAGTACGGTTGCGTTTTCCAGTGCAGGCGGCGTGCCATTAGAACTAATGGCAACTGCCCGCGGGTCCGCATTCCTCTGTGCGGGTGGTACGGCTGCATGGATTTTCATGCGGATCCGCAGCTGCACCACCCACACATATGTGAACCTAGCCTTAGGCTGGCCATACACTATACACTTTTCTGTCCAATTTCTGCCCAATTTCCTTTAGATTTACCTTCAACTATGTAGTGCAATAGTGTTGCCTGTATTTTGTTTGCCGGACCTTTGACCAAAGTGGAGTTAAAAAACCGGAGTGGAGATTATAACAGGAGTCTACTAACCTGGATTCTTGTCTGATTACACAAGATACCGCCAGCAAATAAATGGCTTCGACCACCATCTAGGCCAGATTTTGAATTTGGCTTTTGATGAATCAAATGGACTAGAATCTGCCTTTAAGCTCCTCTGGGAGCCAGGTGCATCTACAGAGTGGTCATCACCTAATGAGAAGGCTGTATGAAGAGTATGGGATAACGAAGGGGACCTGACCAGACCTGACCAGACCTTGATGACATATTGGAAGTCTCTATAATATATAAAGGCGCATAAAGGTTGCGCATCTGGTGAGTGCGTAATCTGTATCCTCACTGTCTCACCACGTGCACAGTCTATGTTGTTTGGAAGTCTATGGATCGATTGAGATCTTGTTCACATCTTCACGTTGGACTTATCTGTGGACACAGCAGTTTTTTCCTCACATTATATTAGCCACCGTACAGTGGCATATATATGAGTGCACAGCATCACTTTATGGTTTTTGCATGATTTTATACATGTATATATATGTTCATTTATTCGTACTCTAGCGCTGCACCTTTTTGTGTATTATTGTGTATTGGAAGGTTTTATATGGTGCCTTTGGTGTACAGCAGCTGCTACTATATAGAAGGTGCTCACTTATTTACACGTTTTCAATATGTAGTGCAAGGGCCTGCCTACTTGGATACAGCTGAAAATGTTGTAAAGGTTTGACCTCATATATGGTTTTTGGTAAATCTAAAGCAAAGTCCTCAAGAAAATTGTATAATGTATGGCCAGCCTTAGTCCTCATGCAAACTGGATGTTTTCACAGCTGCTGTTTTTGGCTTTTGAAATTTTTTTCTACAGCCAGTAAACCCCCCAGCATGAAATCCTATGTGTTCATGCACACATAGGCTGTAATCAACATTTTTTGGCAGGGGCATTTTTGGCTGGAAAAAAAACAGAACTAGTGGGTTTCTAGATTAGTTTTTTAGCTGTAAAAATGCTCTAACGATGAAAAACGGGGCAAAACATGGTAAATCGCTGCAAACCGGTGTTTTTGGACTTTTTTTTAGCGGAAAAATAAAAAAAATTTTGGGGTCAAAAAATAAAACGGTCACATTGGGTGCAATTTGATATGCGATTTGAAAGCCATGCAACTTACAAACTGTATGCCAAGTCGCACCCTATTGTTTGCAATTGGAGCTGTCATATCGGTACCGACTTGGTCAAAGCCACACCGATTTCTAAAGTAGTACATGCACTACTTTTGGTGTGATTTGCATAGATATCTGTAAAGGGACACAGTTCACTAAGCGGTATCTTACCACATCCGAGTATGCAGTAGGATACCGCATAGCATTTTTTAAAAAAAAAAGTTTTAATTCACTAAAAAGCGCTACTAAAATACCGCATGAGTTATTTTGTCAAGTCATGCGGTATTTTAGTAGTGAAAACCATGTGTTAATGTTTCAGCTGTCAGTGGGGTTCCCCACTGACAGCTGAATGAAGAGAAAGAATTGCCGTACCAAGCCCTTCGGGTCTGGTATGGATTTTGAGGGGAACCCCCACCGCCAAAATTTAAAAAAAAAATGGCGTGGGGGTCCCCCCTCAAAATCCATACCAGACCCTTATCCGAGCATGCAGCCTCGCAGGTCAGGAAAGGGGGGGGGGATGAGCGAGCGCCCCCTCCCTACTGAACCATACCAGGCTACATGCCCTCAACATGGGGGGGGTGCTTTGGGGGTCTTCCCCCCAAAGCACCTTATCCACATGTTGATGGGGACAAGGGCGTCTTCCCCACAACCCTGGGCTGTAGTTGTGGGGGTCTGCTGGTGGGTGGCTTATCGGAATCTGGAAGACCCCTTTAACAAGGGGGCCCCCAGATCCCGCCCCCCCATGTGAATGAGTATGGGAGCCAGGATCTGAGTCCCCCTTCCGATAATTCCCCAGCCCGCAGACCCCCACAACCACAGTCCAAGGTTGTGGAGAAGAGGCATGGGGACAAGGTGCTTTGGGGAGGGGAGCCCCCTGCTCCAAAGCACCCCCCCTCCATATTGAGGGTATGTGGCCTGGCATGGTTCAGGAGGGGGGAGGGTGCTCGCTTGTCCCCTCCTCTTTCCTGACCTACTGGGCTGTATGCTTGGTTAAGGGTCTGGTATGTATTTTGGGGGGACCCCATGCCATTTTTGTGAAAAATGTTGGCGTGAGAGGGGGACCCCACGCCGTTTTTTAAATTATTTTTTATTGCCAGCATTTTTTCTTTTGCATTCAGCTGTCAGTGGGGATCCCCGCTGACAGCTGACACAATAATGCATGGTTTTCACTACTAATATACTGCATGACTTGATAAAATAACCCATGCAGTGTTTTAGTAGAGTTTTTTTAGTGAATATTACTGCATACTCGGATACGGTAAGATACCGCTTAGTGAATTGTGACCTGTTTCAGATGTCTTGCAAATTGCGCCTGAAATCGGCGGCTTCACGTGACTTTGAAATTGTGCAACTTCACTGTAAGTCGCACAATTTGAAAGTCGGGCTTCATGTGACCAGGGGCTAAAAAATACAAACGCAAAAAAATACAACAAAACTCTAATGCAAAAAAATTCTAAAAAAACCCCTGAAAAACTCACGTTTTTAACGTGACTTTACACAGCTAACATTACCAGTGTTATTAAAACGCCCAAAGTGCATGGAGCCCTAAAGTTGAACTAAACCCTCCTATCCCTTTCAGCCATGGAAGCTGCTATTTTAGTCTGTGTGATCTGCAACTGTCATGGTGTTGCACATTATGACACCAGCACTTTGATGGTTTGACAGTTTGGATAAGTCACAAACAAATGTAAAAGTTAGCATTCTCAGCATGGTGGGAATGTAACTGTTTTTTTAAACCATTAAATTGATGGGGTTAGTTCCACTTTAACCATATGCAAATGTTGACTTCTGGTCAAAAGTCAGCAGGTGAGCTCTTATGTCTATTTCTTAGCACTCTCCCTGGCAGCTGATTTATGCCTACTGTCCTGGAATAGTGACATGTGACAGGATGGGCATATTCAGAAACACACACATCACATATTTTAACCCATCCCTATATTCAAAAGTATTTGCTAGATCTGGGCTTAACTAAACAGAAAAGAAAGGACACTTTGCAATTTTTTAACTTACCAAGTCACAGTCTCCAAGGTCCAGATCTTCAAGTGTTGAGTTGATTTGTAACATTGCAGCAAAGAACATAGCTCCTTTGTTTCCTATTTTGTTGCCTGTCATCGTTAGGCTCCTTAGAGTATCGTTCCTCTATAAGACAAAGTTGTCAAAAATAAGAAGAAAAGCATTAGACGGGCTTGTTTGAGCTAGTAGATCCTTATGGATAGAGAAGGAAATTTGTAAAAAGTAATCTGCTGTGATCCAATTTTGATCTGAATTTGCGATTATCTAGTACAAGTTGGATAGTGTTTTGATGCTACTTTGAAGTGGTTTGCATATTCTATGGGGCCAAAGTCATGCTGGAATCACACCAAAGTAGTAGAGCAGGGGTAGGCAACCTTTGAGAGGTGGAGATCTACCAGAACAACATGAAAAAGGTGAAAGATCACTGGGGTTCAGTGCCATTTAAAGAAAAAAAAAACTAACTAGCAAGGCCTTACTAATTAGTAACTAAATAGTAAGGGAAGTGTGGAAAAATATCACAAAACAAATGTCACTGTAAAAATACAAACTGCCTACCTTAAAAATGGACAGGGCAGTCAGTAGGGCAGTGGATGATGTCAGTCAATAGAGCAGTGGACAGTGTCAGTCATCAGGGTAGGACAGTGGTACAGAGGTTGGTGTCAGTAGTGGACGTTGGCAGTAGACAGTGGACAGTGGTAGGGCAGAAGTTGGTGTCAGTAGGACAGTGGATGGTGTCAGTAGTTTTTATTTTTACAATTTTATTTTTTATTTTTTTTCACAATTTTTTTATTGGCCCTGTTAAAAGGGAAGCACTTGGGGGAGGGGACAGGCAGCAGAAAAAAGGAGGAACAAGTGGGGCACTACCCTAAAACATATCCCCTGGATTTTCCTCCTGTAGCAGCTGTACGCTGGTGGCAGGGCAAGGAGGAGATGCCAGCTTTCTGCCGCTCCAGGAGAACCATAAAGGGATCAACAGAAGAAAGGAATTTAAAAAATCTGAATTCCCAGCAAGTGGCTGAATATTGGGATTTCTTTTACCCCCCTCTACCCTGGTGCCCCAAGGTGTCTACCTAAGCAGCCGTAAGCTGGGCGCCAGCATAAAACTGCTTAGGCAGCTGCGTTAGGACACCAGGTTGGGGGGTGGGGACAGAAGAAGACCAATCTCAAGCCACTTTCTGGGAATTCAGATTTTTACATTACCTGTCCAAGGAGAGAAGGGTGTGGGGGGGGGGGGTGAAGTACACTGCTGGTGGGGGGGGGGGAAGTGGGGGCTAGAGGTCATTGCTATGGGGAAAAGGGGGGCAGAGGAAACTACTGGGGGGTGGGGTGATGTGAAGGGGAGCAAAGGACACTACTGTGGGGGGTGATATGAAGGGCAGTAGAGGACACTGCTATGGGGGTGGCCCTGCCCATAGCAGTGTCCTCTGCACATCACCTCTTCCCTCAGTGGTGGTGTCCTCTGCCCCCCCCCCTTTACCCCATAGCAGCAACCTCTGGCCCCCTCCACCCCCAGCAATGTCCCCTGCCTCCCCTCCTTCCCTACCATAGCAGTGTCCCAATCAGTATCCTGATTGTACAGAAGAGTGTGGAGGGCAGCACAGTTCTGGACTGATGGTGTCTTCCCCCTTCCCCAGCCTCCTCCGCTGCTGTCATCCTCAGTGCACAGTGGAGAGCGGAAGGCAGCACAGCTCAGGACAGAGGACAGGAGGAGGAGCTGGCCAAATGAACTTTTCATATTAACAAGCTGGCAATTGGTTGCTAGGACTGCCCTAGCAATCAATCACCTGTGGGTTAATATGAACTAATATGGCCAAATGAACTTTTCATATTAACCCACAGGTGATTGATTGCTAGAGCAGTCCTAGCAACCAATTGCCAGCTTGTTAATATGAAAAGTTCATTTGGCCAGCTCCTCCTCCTCCTGTCCTCCGTCCTGAGCTGTGCTGCCTTCCGCTCTCCGCTGTGCACTGAGGATGACAGCAGCGGAGGAGGCTGGGGAAAAGGGGGGAGAAGGACCAGCACCTAAAAGGCGGGGTTGGCGGCGAAGGCACATGTCCACGGTCTACCTGTCACCTGGCCGTGATCGACAGCTAGACCATGATAGACAGGTTGCCAACCCCCATTGTAGGGGAACCTTTTCCAAAATCATGCCGTGCTGAGCTACATTGATGTGAACAGGCACCACTGAGAACAATGTGATGCCTATTGTCATGTGATTCTGTGTGACTCAAGTCACATCTGAAATTGCACTAGTGTGAACTATCATCTAAATCTATCATTTTTATTAAAAGGTTTAGATTACATATTCTACATTTGCAGTATACCTGTATATAAAATTGTTCTGATTTAAAGGAATTAAAAAGATATCACCTCTTAGGGCTTGTTCACACTTGCCTAAATTTCTAACTCTTACCAAATGCTCCCATAGCTTTAGTATAAGTGCTATACAGGTGTTAATGAGCTTTAGTATGGGCATTAGACTGGCTTTTTCCAAGTGTTAAAAATGCTCCCCAAATGCCTGATGTGCAGTTTTGAAGCGTTTTACAAGCATTAAAACCACACCACAAATGCCTATAACAAACTGTAATGTTATTAATGCCCCACAACCATGCCGCAAATGCCCCACAAACACCTGCTAGCGCGTTTGTGGAGCGTCACCATAGACTTGAATGGGAGACGTTGAAAGGCTTCAAGCTCCTCCTGACTCGACATGAGGCTTCAATTATGAAGCGACGTGATGCTAGTACTTCATGTTTTAATAATGTGAACAGCACTGTGTGCTACCCATAGTATTATTTGCATAGGCGTTAAAGGAGCATTAAAAACGTCCCTCAAATGCCGGCTTTCAATGCCAGTGTGAATTAGGTCTTAGATAAAATCATGCGAATCAGCTGTTCAATTTATAATGAGCAGAACAGGAGGAGATCCTATGGCTTAATGGGGGAGTTCATAAAGTAGTGAAACAGAAGATTAGCACAGAAGTCATGCCCCTGGAATTTTCAGAAGGAGATTAGCTGCAACAAAGTTAAAAAAAAGTTGCAAAACTTTTATTTTTTTTATTTTCTCTCATTTCTAATAAGTATTTCAACCACGTATATAACAACCTACTACTATAAAACAGAATATACCATTTGTTACTTACATGCAAAGCCTTTGCAATTAGTTCTGCTCCATCTGTTTCAATGTCGTTTCCCATAAGATTTAAACAAAGTAAGGAACATCCTTCCTAAAAGCATATTAAGTTGAAAGGCATATAATATTGTTTTATCCCAGATAATATCTTTATTTTATTTCAATACATACCTGAAGAAAGTTTGCAATATGTACTGCGCCTTTGTCAGTCAAATTGTTGAACCTCAAGTCAAGACCTGAAAAATGCGATCAAATGATTTTTATAATATTTTTGTGAAATGTGCATATGTCCTACATGAGCCTGCACACTACAGCATAAAGGCTCCATGCACACTGGGCTTTTTAATAACGCAGGTAACGTTAGTTGTGTAAAGTCACATTAAAAACGTTTTTCAGCATTTTTTAGCGTTTTTGCATTAGTGTTTAGCAGAGTTTTGCCGCGTTTTTTCGTGTTTTAATTTTTCGCTGTTTTTTACCAGAAAATAAAAATTTGTGGTCAAAAAAGTCCAAAAACATGAGTTTGCCACGATTTACCATGTTTTACAGCATTAGAGCATTTTTACAGCTAAAAAACTCCTCTAGAAACCCACTAGTCCTGGGTTGTTTTTCCAGCCAAAAAACGTTGATTACAGTCTATGTGTGCATGGACACATAGGATAACATGCTGGGGGGTTTACTGGCTGTAGAAAGAAACACTAAAAGCCAAAAACAGCAGCTGTAAAATGTCCAGAATGCATGAGGACTTAAAAATGTATGGAGTTTAGTATGCATTGTAACATCATTCACACACTCCTAGCCTCTGAAAGCATTCCACATTGTATCATTGCCAGATTTCACCAACAATGGGTTCTTTAGCTCAAAATGTTACTTCTGATTTTATCTGCTCCCTTTGAGTGAATTGCCCCATGTTGAGCAGGACCCTCTAACTTGTTTACATTTGCTAAACTAATATCTGACCATTTAACGTTCCCGACGTTTTTGTGTTTATTAAAAGTCAGCAGCTACAAAACCGTAGCTGCTGACTACTACTAAACACACACTTACCTGTCCCAAAATCCAGCGATGTTCTCACCCGCACCATCCCTTTTCCCCTTCTTTCCTCCACGGCATCGGCATCTCAACTGTGGGCACCAGGCTGTGACAGCTTGTGGCTTCACAGCCCGGTGCCCACTGCGCATGCGAGTCACGCTGCGCCTCCTAACTTGTGAAGGTTCCCAGGGGACTGTGGTAGGGAGGTTTGGCCCGAACTTCAGGCTCACTTCGCTGAGGCAAACTGAGCCGAAAATGGGAGCGGGTACTTGTCAAAACGAGGTACCCTCTCCCCCCTCCCCCCCAAAAGGTGCCAAATATGGCAGTGGAAGGGGGGAGGAGGCAAATAAGTGGAACTTCAGACTTTGAGTGGAACTCTGCTTTAAAAATTAAAGTGCTCATCAAGTGTCAACACATCTGAGTGATAATGCAGCAATTTAAGGGATAAAGTTCACCTTTTGTAGCATGTTACATGTTACACCAGTATTCGGTGTATTTATCCTTTTATATTGCAAATGGAGGTTTCATATCCCATTAAAGGCAAAGTAGAGAGGGTGACCATGGAGCTTGACACCCAGAAATTCTGTAAACTTGACAGCACCCGCCTGGGGAAGTTATTTGGAAAAATAATTAAAGTGAAGCTGTCGCTTTGCCTAATCTAAATTCTCTTGACAGTCTACCTTATTTGCAAACAGTACTTACCTTCTCCGTGCTTTCCCACCACACTGTTCACCTGCCAGAGACCTGAGTAGAAAACCCTTTGGAAGCTCTGTATTGGAGGTATCATAATGCTAGGGACCTTACCCTGCCCCAAGTGGCAGTACTCATGCCATGATGATTTGCTGTTCAGGCAATGAGCATTGCCTATGGGAAGGAAAGAGAATAGGTCACATACTCTCCCATACACAGAAGTACCATATATTTTATAGTGGTCTAGTTGGTATATAAGACAATGGTGGAGCAGTTAAGTATCTACAATGGATGGGGCATGCTAGTGCTTTGAATTGGCAAAGGGAATGTTTTTTTTGAATCAATATACATGCAGGCAGTGGAAAGAGAGCTTGAAATTAGTAATAAGTGTGACAATGATAAAAGCAACCACTCCCTTGTGTTTACTTCTTACTGATCTTATGTTTTTGCATGGGTTCTGTAATCCAATTCTAACCTAGCATTGTAGCTACTAAATTAAAAGAATTTCACTAAACATGGTAATTTGCATAAAAACACAGCCTCCAACACATCCTACCTTCTATGAAGCTGTTCTGTCTCAGAACATAAGAAATAACTAGAAAATCGTCATCTGAAACTCTCCTTCCTTCCACCAGACGATTATTTCCACACAATTTTAAAGTAGTTGTATATTGTCTAGAAGAAAATATGAGACAATTATTACTGGCATGAAAAAAGAAAACCTTAATATAAATTAACAGAATAAAATTCTATTTGATATGTTTTAATTGCATATTGGGGCCTGCACATACTGGCTGCATGCTTGTTAGGATCAACAGTTCACTAGGTAGTGCAGCCATACTACATATGGCAGGGGAGCCTGCACCAATGAAAAGAACCTGGAAATGGCAGCTGCTATATTTCAGTCATCACAGGTTTATTTTGATAGTGAAACATAAAAAGAAAATGAAACGTTTCAAAAAGTTCTCAGGACTGTAAATGTGTAAAGCCTTTTATTTTTAATTTTTATGGAATGCGGTCCTCTGTTTTGATAGGCTTTGTTTGTCTGGAGTCTCAAATCTTTCTCCTGAAATAAAGTGATCCATGTGTGACCTCTGAGTGTAACTCCATACTTAGCAGATATGCACATACCAAGTCCAAGTCAGTAACACACCAAGCAGTAAAGAAAGGATGGCAATAAAAGCCCTAGAGCCTGGAATTTTAATAACAGGTCAGCAATGGTCATATTTTACACTCAACAGATGTCTGAACTAAGCCAGGGAGGTAAACATCTCACCATGCCATGAATTTGATGCAAATGTAAAAGCTGATTCAACTAATACCAGGTAGAAAAGCCAGTTCTTAAATGCACGTGGGGAAAGGCCACACTCTGCATGTCTAGTGATAGCATGGTAATATGTGTTGTGAATGAACCCTTGTAAGTAACCCAGACTTCTCTTAGAAATGTCATTTAACATAGTGCAGTCATACATTACTTACTCAGACTGCTCTAGTTGTAGCAGCATTTCCTCAATAAAAGGGTTAACAGGTTGGTTACATTCTGTACATGCTGTACTGTATTGCAGGCTCAGGCTCGTTGCCATGGCTGAAAAAGAAAAAAGTAATCTATAATAAATAATTTATAGTTTTTAATGCATTAACTTCTGTAAGTAGGAAAGGACTACTAACTCGTTGACACCGGCAGCCTGAGGGCTGTAGAGACAGGCTTGGTTTTGCCATGCCCTGACCACCCACCTTAACGATAGTATGTGTCTGCTCAGTGCTGTACACAGGCCAAGGCCACAATGCTTTGCTCCATGACATTGAGAAAATGTATACTTCCTTTTGCATTTGGTGGGAAGCACCATCACCAAACGGGACCAATTCAAGTGAATGTAGCTGCTTCGCAACTGCAAGCCAAAGGATTGGCCAGTGCCTGAAGCACGGTATCTACATACCATATCTCCATTTGGATGTCAACAAATGGCCATTCAGGAGCCAACAGTGTCACCTGAATGCCTGGCAGTTGCTGCTCTACAATCCTCTGAAAAGCATTCCACCAGCTACAAACAGCTGCAAATGATGGAACTAAAAATTTTAATATTACATACATCAATAAATATACATTTTGATAAGGCCTAATAATAATGTTACCTGCCATTTTATCAATGGGAATGTTATGTTATGGTATGGCTACTTGTCTGTGCTGGACAATTTTATATTTTCATTTTCACCAGGGACTTTCTGTCAGTAAAGCAGCCCATAGATTATGCTGTTTTCTTTCCTGAAAATTGCTAGATTCCTTTATCAGCACAGTCAGTGTTGATGGGGAAATCCCTCCCGCAGTGCTATTGTGATCCTTCCCCGCTGGCAGAACACAATGATTATAGCTGTTGGCAGTGATTGCATGAAATAGATCAGACAGGCTGGTTGTACTGAAATGGATCGATGGATCAAATCTTGTTCGGTCCCTGCTGAACTAGCTGAGATTTGATCCATCTATGGCCAGCTTTAGTTTTTCCAAATATTTTGGTGATAATACCACCATAAATTAGGTGTAACCTATTATTTAGTTAACAGAGCACATTGATTTTTTCTTGGTTGTCAATGTCAGCATGTCATCTGTTTCAAGTGGATCAAAAGACATTCTAATGGTAATGGGCGCCAACAGACAGAGTCACCGGAGGCTTGTCAGAAAAAAAGTGATCAGACAGGTTTCAATACCTTATTGGAGTGCTCTATTTTCTACCTAGCCCCCCCCCCCCCCCATCCCTTTCCCCCTATAACCAATTGGATATGATTGCTGCATTCAGTTTTGCCATAATTGAATCATCTAATTTGAAAGCTCTTAAGGCAAAAATTAAAGAAAATAGCATAAACAGATAAGCTCTTTATTTCAAAAGAGACATGTAATATCTCTTCTGCAATAAAATAAATGCACCTTCCTGTCCTTTTTAAAATGTACACTGATCTGCACATGTGCAACTCAGTTTACATTCCAGCACAGTGCCTGTGTGGTGGGATGACTGAACTCCTTCACATGAGTTGGTCAATCAAGATGGATGAAGGCTGGCACCTGGAAAAAGCTAGGGAAATGACGCTGCTACTGGCAATGGATCCCATAGGCTTCTGACAGAAGTATTGCAGACATTATTTCCACTTAAAAATGTCATCCAGGCCTGATTTTTTAATGGAATCCCAGGCATATTAAAAGAGAAGTTAGGGGTTTGCAAAAAAAACCCAAACTTCTCGCAAAAAATAAATGTACAATATATACAAAATGTACAATATATGCAAAAAAATAAATGTTATATACATATATATATATATACACACACACACCAGGGCTCCACAAATCCCAGGTGCCAGGTAGCAATGGCGACTAGAAATTGTTGCATCCTGATGCCAGGGTTCACACACATTGCCTTCCATAGGGGCAACTTCCCATAGAAGTCCATGGGAGGCATTTTCCCATAGGCTTCAATGGGAAACTTTAATGGGAAAAGCCTCCCATAGACTTTAATGGGAAAATGCCTCCCATAGACTTCAATGGGAAAATGTCCCTCTTTCATAGACTTCAATGGGAAAATGCTCTACCATCAATGGGAAAATGCCTCCCATAGCCATAGACTCCAATGGTTAAACGCCTCCCATAGACTTCTATGGGAAAACGCCTCCCATAGACATCTATGGGAAACCGCCTCCCATAGACTTCTATGGGAAAACGCCACCCATAGACTTCAGTGCAAAATTCCTGTTAATAGCAATCCTACGTGAACACTTATCTCTGTATGCTACTCTACTCTATCACATGCGAGTCTGGAATGCACCGCCACAAACTCGAACAGGACCCTTTTCATAATGGCACTCAAAACACACTGCGTGTGGATCACATCTGTGTGAATCACCTCAATAGGAACACAAAATATCTAGCCTGTCATGTAAATCTGTGAGTTTCAAAATGAATCCAGAATACCATGTGTGTGAACCAGGGAGGTTCCATTCACACCTGGGTGTTTTAGGATTGCAGCAGAATCACTGTGATCACAAAACACAGGTTCAAGTGCCATTATTTTCAGTGATGCCTAAAACGTGGTGCAGTTTTGCCATGATTGCCATGTGACAAATCGCATCACATGAAGTTCCGGATGCTGACAACTCACACTACGCTAAAAAAAACTGCCTCCTTTTTTCGCTGGCTCCTAGATTCAAAGCAAATTTGTCAAGCCCTGATATACACTATATTACCAAAGCTATAGGGACAAAAACCTTTTCCAAATCATTGCATTCAGGTGTTCCAATCACCTCCTTGGCAACAGGTGTATAAAATCAAGCACCTGAGCATGCAGACTGCTTCTACACACATTTGCTTAAGAATGGGTCGCTCTCAGGAGCTCAGTGAATTCAAGCATGGTACCGTGATAGTGTCAGGGCAGGGCTGTGGAACGGACAGGTAGGCCTAGTGGCAGGGTAAGGCACTGGCTGACGGCAACCACCACCAACAGACCGAAGTCCCTCAGGGCGCCGAGTCTAAGTCCCAGGCTGCCCTTCACCAGGGCCCCTGATGGTGGGGATGGACTTGACGCAGCCAGGAACCAGGTCGCGGCCCCCGAGACACCCCGGCTGCGGTAATGGCCGCCGCCAATGGCGTGTAGCTGGTGAGAATGACAATAGCGTTGTCAGGCAAGCCGAGTCGACAACAACAGGACAAAACAGTACAGAACAGTAGACAAAGAATCACAGGTCACGGGCCGGGTTCAGCAACAGAAGGTCAGATCGAAGGAAACCACAGAGAATGGTCTTAGTCACAAGCTGAGTCAGAATACCAGAAGAGTCACGAGCATATACACAGAGCTGTAGGAAGACCAAGACACAAGACACAAGTGCAAAGAGCATGTGCGGATCACAGGCTTATATGTACTCAGCCACACCCCTCTGGGGGATGGACCTCAGAGACCTGAAGGCATAAAAGCTTCCCACCATGCTCAGCAGAAATCCAAGATGGATGCCAGCACATGGAGTAACATAACCTCTGGGAAAAGGTAGGACCTTGACAGATAGGTTGCCTTCTATGCAATAAGTCCATCCATGAAATTTCCTTGATACTAAATATTCCACGGTCAACTGTTGGTGGTATTATAACAAAGTGGAAGCAACTGGAGAGAGGAATCATGCTTCTCTGGCAATCCGATGGACATGTCTGGGTTTGGTGGTTGCCAAGAGAATGCTACTTGCCTGACTGCATTGTGCCAAGTGTAGAGTTTGGTGGAGGGGGGATTATGGTGTGGGATTGTTTTTCAGGGGTTGGGCTTAGCCGCTTAGTTCCAGTGAAGAGCTCCTGGACAATTTAATGCTCTCAACTTTGTGGGAACAGTTTGGGGATGGCCCCTTCCTGTTCCAACATGACTGCGCACCAGTACACAAAGAAAGGTTAATAAAGATATGGATGAGCAAGTTTGGGGTGGAGGAACTTGACTGGCCTGCATGGAGTCCTGACCTCAACCCGATAGAACACCTTTGGGATGAATTAGAGCGGAGACTGCGAGCCAGTTCTTCTCGTCCGACATCAGTGCCTGACCTCACAAATGCGATTCTGGAAGAATGGTCAAACATTCCCATAGACACACTCCTAAACTTTGTGGACAGCCTTCCCAGATGAGTTGAAACTTTTATAGCTGAAAAGGGTGGGCCAACTCAATATTGAACCCTACGGACAAAGACTGGGATGCCATTGAAGTTCATGTGCGTTTAGAGGCAGGTGTCCCAATACTTTTGGCAGTATAGTGTGTGCGTATATATATATATATATATATATATATAGCTCAAAAAATTGAAGGAACACTTTTTAATCAGAATATAGCATCATGTCAATTAAACTCCTGGGATATTGATCTAGTCAGTTAAATAGCAGAGGGAGTTGTTAATAAGTTTCAGCTACTTTGGTGTTAATGAAATTAACAACAGGTGCACTAGACGGGCAACAATGAGACGATCCAAAAAACAGAAATGGTTTTACAGGTGGAGGCCACTGACATTTTTATCCCTACTCATCTTTTCTGACTGTTTTTCACTAGTTTTGCATTTGGCTAGGGTCAGTGTCACTACTGGTAACATGAGGTGATATCTGCACCCTACAGAGGTTGCACAGGCAGTCCAACTCCTCCAGGATGGCACATCAATGCGTGCCATTGCCAGAAGGTTTGCTGTGTCTCCCAGCACAGTCTCTGTACAGGGCTGTAGAAGGTTCTTAACCCATCAGCAGGACTGGTATCTGCTCCTTTGTGCAAGGAGGAACAGAATGAGCACTGCCAGAGCCCTACAAAATGACCTCCAGCAGGCCACGGGTGTGAATTTCTCTGACCAAACAATCAGAAACAGACTTCATGAGGGTTGTCTGAGGGCCCGACGTCCACTAGTGGGCCCTGTGCTCACTGTCTGGCTCCATAGAGCTTGATTGGCATTTGCCATTGAACATCACAATTGGCAGGTCCGCCACTGGCGCCCTCTGCTTTTCACAGATGAGAGCAGGTTCACCCTGAGCACATGTGACAGATGTGAAAGGGTCTGGATAATCCGTTGAGAACATTATGCTGCCTGTAACACC